GCTTTACTATTTTTGGTCAAGCTTCCGAGACGAAGTCACGATCCGACTTTTGACTACAAAATGCTTCAATATACGTTTTTTCATAACTGTAAAGCTGTGTAAAATCCAAGCTACCAAGCTCGCTGAAGCAAGTTTGAGCGAAGCTTTAGTGAAACCAAGCACATCACGCTTAGTTTGATGATTTTTAAACCCCGGTTTTGAGCTTCCGGGACGAACGAATGCTCATATAAGATAAGAATATATATGATTTTTTAAGCCTTGAAGTTTAGTATAGTTAAAGCTAGGTAAGCCTAGGCTTAATCTAAAAGCCAAGTAATTTAAGCGAAACGTCACGTAAACTATTGCCAAGTAAAGACCGCCCCCGAATGGTGACCGAAAATTTTTGGAGCCATTTCCGGCGATGACGACGCAGCACTAACACGTGGTTACGTTGTGTGCGGTCCTCTCTATATCCCGGGCTTTAGAGTACGACGAGTGGAGGCAGAATCCAAATCATCATCTTCCTCCTCCTCGTCCTTCTGTCTGTTTAGCGGTATACGTCGGTCGACGACGACGATTGTTGACGCCGTCAGATATTGGATGGCTTTTGGGGGGATGGGGTGGTGGCCACGGCTGTTTGCCCACCGCTTCATTTCCACGCCAAAGTCGCCCCCGGGGAATATTGCACTTGGGGTAGCGCCTAGCCGTCGCATACGGTACCCAAGATTTTCGTTGGCGTAGAATTCTAGCTTTGCTACGCGGGATTCTAGGGAAAGTTTTGGGGTTTAGGGGGCAAAAACGCACGGTTCCCAGGTTTATTGGCGTGCTTTTGGTCTCTAAAACTCTTGTTGTTTTTTTAACGTTTTTCCCGTTTAATTTTTACCGGTTACTAGTTTCTTATCGGAGGGGTCCAACACTTTTTTTGTATCCATTTTTCCGCATGCAAACGGATGCGGTTTCTAAAATAAGGTTTCTAAAGATAGTTCACTATTTCGAAGGTAAACCCTTCATTTTTCCAAGTGGACGAATTACGCCATCCGTGGACAGTATATGCCGCATCCGTCCAGAAGCCCCAAATGAAGATTGAAGCTTTTTAGAAACTTTAGACCGACGATACCCCTCCCCCCTCCCGATAACGCGAAAGAGCGGATTATTACGATACAAAGTGACTAATTTGTCTACAAAATATCGGGCTATAGCACAGAGAAATCGGTGCGACATGTGCTCTTTTCAAGTGTACGAACTACGCCGTCCGTGGACAGTCAAGCCTGATAGGCGTGCTTCGTATCAATTTTATCGGTTCCGTTTTGATAAAAAAAAATTGGATGGCGTGTTATAGCCTTATTAGAAGGGATTTCGGGAAAAATGGATTCAGACGACTTTTTGATGGCATTTTCCACCCTTGAAATGGTATGAAAAATTTTTTGCCCTCCAAAGGCCCACTGCCATGTTTGATGCCCCCGGCGGCAATCCGTTTCGATAGGTCGGTCATCTCCTCCAACCCGTCCAAAGGCTAATACGATTAGCGATGGTGGTGGCAACGTGGGGGATGGGATTTTTGGGGGAGGAGAAGAACGGCTGCAGATGGCCCTCTTCTGGAGGTGAACGCCCTCACGTTGCCGAGCGTGCTGTTTGAGGCGTTCTTTGGTTTTTTTTTGGAGTTTTGCTGCGCCATGAAGTTCAAATATGCCGTAATTTAGCGTAATGTTACGGTTAAGAAATCTTAAACATTTGAAGAAGAGAAGATAGATAGGAACCAGATCCCTCCTTTTTTAATCGATGCTTTTCGGACCGGCTGTGTTGGTGTTGATCAACATTCTCGCTCTCGGGCCATTATCTGGGCGCAAAGGACAGTTTTTCACTTTTTTTTCTTATTGAAATGAAAAGACTGTAGCAACGATCTAGTTTTTAAAAGGTTTAAAAATTCATTATTTCCTGTTTCATCGTTTCAAAAAGTATAACTTCATTTCCCTATAAAGTACAACGGATTAAAATTATAAATTTACTTGGTTTGAAAAATCGTGTAAGAGGTTTTCGCCAAAATAATTGTATGAGAAGAATTTTAATACAGATCCTCACTATTTAAAAAGTCCTTCAATCGGTTTTAACATAAATAGTTTTTCTCAATGAAACTAGAAGGAAGCATTCGCCTTTAAAGCCCAAGAAAACGGCTTAAAGCCATTTTTCCTAGCAACAATCTTGCGCAGAAAACGGACTTTTCACGGCCTAGCTCATGACCCCTAGCTGCCAAGTCGTCAGACTACAATACTCTCCGCTTTACACCTGAAAGCAACACGCCATCTCCACATAGTTCCACTATAATATTCACCACGCTTTTTTGATGGCTGACGGTTTCAATAGGGGCGGAAAAGAGATAATGTGGGGGAGGAAAGAAGGATAAAAAAGTAGCTCGGCGGTGGGGCTTGGCTTGGGATAATGGGGGCCGATGAGGAGGGCATGCTTTTGCCCTGGCTTTCGATAATAATAATTGAGAGAGGGGGTCAACGTTCACGGCATAGCTTTCAAGGTTCAGCCATCTTCGATTATGCCAGAATTCCGAGTTTTGCTTCGTCACAGTTTATTTTTGTTTTGAAAAACATGTGGAAAAACTACTCTAATTGCACTCTCAGGTTGTAGCTGAATGGTTGTGTGATAGCTTTTCACCCGAACGACCCGGGTTTGAATCCCGCCCGTGACTAGGCTTTTTCTTTTGCTTTTTGGAATACAACTTGCGGCGATGGCTTGGCGTCGAAAGCGTAGGATTAACCTTGGCTCTGAGAGTCGTAGGCTTGCTCAGCTTTACTTGGCTTAGGCTTTCTAATTTTAGACTTGGTCTTAGCTTAGCATAAGCTATGCTAGGCTTTTTCTAGTTACAGGCTTATCCTTAGGCTGAAACTCAGGCTTAGGCTTAGGCCTAGGTTAGGTGGATTTTGCCCAAAGCCCAAGCCAGGCCTTCCTGACCCCTTTAACCGGCTGATCAACGCTTACCCTCAACGCCGTTTAGACGCGGAATGAAATCGTAATTAGGTAGCAGCCCGTCCCGCCCTCCAGATCCCTTGAGATTTTTTGGGGTCCCGGATTTCAGTCGGGCTGATTTAGGTTAATTTTTGCGTTGTTAAATCTTTAGTGTCATTCCTAGTCACTTTCTTAATATATTATAACGTTTTTTTGGCTAAAAAAAACCATTTTCGACTGTCATCGCGCTACTAAAATTGCGCGATTATTCTTATTTACTTTCTTAACACATTCTGACGCCCTTCCCCCAGCTTCGAAAGCCATTTTTGATTATTTTGGGCGGATTCCAGAGGTGTTGTCTCGCCCGCGTTACTCATGCTATATGGCGTAGCCGCCCCGAAAACTCTTTGGCCCGCCTGGTTTTTGAGCTTTACGTTGTAAAAAAAATTTAAAATATTTGTAAAAGCTCAATTTTTACGGGATTTAAGGGTGAATTTTTATACTGTAATTTTTGTTATATTACGACGTTGGCCGAGCCGAAATTTTGCTCCACCCTCGCTCGGCGCCAAGCCGTCTTATGTTAATTTCTCGCGTGGCCCCCTACTAATTCTGGAGTGTCGGCGATTTTTGGTCACGTTTATAGCATTTTAAGGAGCAAATTTATAGAGTTATTTCTTAAAGCTATTTTACGCATATTTTTAATACGTTTTTGGATTTATTGATGAGTTCAAAATCCTTAAAAAATATGAAGATATGAAAAATCGATTTTTTTAGTACTAAATTTTTTTATATTTTATGTCTTTTCCCTGTTTTCTCCAATTTTACAATAACTTCTAAACTTTGTACTGTACAGGGTGTCCCAAAAAAAAAGACACCGGCCGCATTTCTCTATTTCGGGTCCGATCAACTTGAAATTTTGCACAGAGGTAGCGAAGCCAATTTCCCATGAACACAGAAAGTTTCAGCCCCATCGGTCAGCGGATTTTAAAGTTATAACGAAAATACTTTTTTATGTTTTATTTAATATGGGGACCTCTGCAATTTGCATCAAAAATGTGCGTAATTTTGTCATTTACGAGCTGATTTTGCATAATTTTTGCCGAAAAAGGTCATTTGCAGTTTTGCGCTTCGTAAGAACGATTGCGCATGGGAAGTAAAAATTATCCAGAAAACCGCCAGATATAAGGAACCAGTATTTTAACATACGTTCACCGGTTGTTTTAATTTATTTTTCGGTTTACGCATAGATTTAAAGCCTCGATTTGGATTTAGGCATCAATTTGGAGCTGGTCGAACGCTGCGTCGAGTCCAAGGCAGGCCCAACTGACCAAAACTTCAATAAAAAGTGTTTGAGTGCTCAAAAAGCTGTTGTTTTCACGGTATTTTGTTTGTCATGCGCAATCGTTCTTACGAAGCGCAAAACTGCAAATGACCTTTTTCGGCAAAAATTATGCAAAATCAGCTCGTAAATGACAAAATTACGCACATTTTTGATGCAAATTGCAGAGGTCCCCATATTAAATAAAAAATAAAAAGTATTTTCGTTATAACTATAAAATCCGCTGACCGATGGGGCTGAAACTTTCTGTGTTCATGGGAAATTGGCTTCGCTACCTCTGTGCAAAATTTCAAGTTGATCGGACCCGAAATAGAGAAATGCGGCCGGTGTCTTTTTTTTGGGACACCCTGTATATATTTTAATTAGGAGCTTGGAAAACTCAGATTTTTCCAGGGTCCCCACACACTTCGCATCGACCCCGGGCGTCTTTGTGAAGTTTTCAGGTGAGCAAAAATTTGTAATTTCATTATCAGATTTTTATGAAAAAATTTAATTGGATTTTTTGGATTTTTTTAGTCTCTATCGGTTATCAGATCAATTAGGCGCCAACAGGAAATTAATGGGTGAATCACACCGCACTTTGGTTTGAAATTCCTGCGATTTCGACGCCTTTCCATTGAAATTCAGGGCTATTAATGCGTACATAAATTGCATTTTTCATTTGTGATTTTTGAAAATTCCTAGGCTTTACGAAAAGGTATATTAATCTTAAGGGTGACCGTTTAGAATGCTGTACCGGCTGTTTATCCTGCTCATCGCCCTCCTCGGCTACGCACACGCTGGCACCTGGCTTGCGTTTAGTACGTTTTTAACATTTTTGTAGACTTTTACTTAAATCAAATATTGTTTTTTGTTTGCGGACGTATACCATAAGCAAAAAGTTACGCCGTCAAGTGACCAAAAAAGCACGTTGTGACGATCGAAACACCCGAAATTCGACACTTAGCGTGTGAATTTGAGCGCTTCCGTTGTCCGCCAATTTCCGTTCGCATTACGTAGCGGTTTTTTGGCACGCAAAATTAGGGATGATTATTTTCTGATATTACCGGTTTTTGGAGATTTTTTCATGTTTTTTCTCAGACGATGCACCGGAAGGGCGAGCTCCGGTTGTGGCGCGACTTTTGAACGAGTGTACACAGGTATGGAATCGAAATATTGTAGCTCTCTCTCTCTCATCCTCTCTCTCTCCCTCTCTCTCGCTCTCCCCTGCTCGCTATCTCTCGCTCTCTCTCTCTCCTAGCACGCTCTCTCCGTTCTCGCTATCTCTCTCTCTCCCCTGCTCGCTATCTCTCGCTCTCTCTCTATATCTCTCTTTCTCTCTCCAACCTGATTTTCCAGCATCAAATGGCAAAGCGACTCTCCGGTCCCCATCGTATCTTCACCCGAGCCGAGCGGGACAAGATGGAGCTGTGCAAGATGCTGGAGATGGTACGGTAGCCTAAGCTCGAAATTAGGGGGCAGAACTTTGGACGCCCAGATTTCATCACAATGAGATTTTCCGGGATTTTCCGGGAATCGGGAGATAATGATTTTTGGGCTATTTTGGGGCCAGGGAATTGGTTTAATTAAAGCCGGAATCTGAGAGAGAGAGAGAGAGCGAGAGCGAGAAAGAGAGCGCGCAGAGAGATGAGAGAATTAAAGAGAGTGAGCAAGAGACACCGCGATGCGCTTAATTTAACGTTGATATGAGTTTAGTTTTAACTACAAACTATAACGCACTTTTCTTTTCTTTTCTTTACACTTTACATCTTTTCAGAGCCTCCGCTGAGGACGGGCCTCCCTCGGCTGACTCTCTCTATCTCTGCACTCTCTCTACTCTCTCCACCTCATCCATCCGGCAGCACCTATTTCACTTCAACGCTCCTTTAAAGAGCTTCTAACTTTTCCTATCCCCGTCGAAATGGAGCGACACCCACCGTACCTACACACCACCCAACATCAACGACTCGAGCGGCACGAGATTCACCAAAAATTAACATCAAAGTCAACGATTGGCTTTCACTCACACACCATCTACCGTATTCCCCTAGCTGGACTTTATCCTCTTTAATAAATTGTGAAATGATGGGCACAACGTCGATACCGTATACTTATTTAATCCATGCAGCCTTCCTTAAACCATACAATCATAAGTTACATACAGTACCACAAAGTACGTTTTTTACCTATACACGTCCCTTCAATCCATAACGACTTGCATAATTAATTTATTCTTTAGCGGGCGGGTCGGGCCCGACGCAAAGTGCGGAAAGACACGGAAAAAAGCAAGGCGGGCGGCAGGGGTACTGTAGTGTGTAGTATGTAGTCGGTAGGTGCATCTGGGGAACCAGTGGAAGCGGAGGTTTAGCACATATTGCATGTGCGGGCGCAGTACTGGCGCTTCTGGGCATCCGGGTAGAAGGACGACTGGCAGAAGCCGTTTTGTTGCCACTTTCCGCACCTATAAATGGTTGTTTTCTCTGCTTCGGTCTCCCACTCACTCACTCACTCACTCTCTCTCTCTCTCTCTCTCTCTCTCTCTCCCTCGCTCTCTCTTTCGTTATCTTTTATAGGATCTCTCTCTTTCGCTCCAGCTCTCCCCAGCTCTCTCGCTGTCTCTCTCGCTATCACTCTCTCAACTATCTCTCTGTCTCTCGCACTTTCTATCTATCTCTCTTTCTCTTTCTCTAACTCCCACGCACATCATAGGATTCTGATCCTGGCATCCATAAGCCCGAGTGGTACTTCCGGTCACTCCCGTCGTGCTCGATCCTTCGCAGTATCCGCACGTCTTCTTGCAGTTGGCGCGGGCAAAGTCCTGAAATTTATTGTAATTTGGTGTGACTCGTACTCAAAACGAATACATCTTGCTCGTAGCTAGGCGGGCTTCATAATCAGAGACAAACTCACGATGGTATCAACGTTCCTGCAGATCGACTTGTCGTTGGCGCACTCGATGGCGGCATCGATGCATCCACCTGAAGTTGATGTTGATCTTCAGCGTTTAGACGTTTTCGAGACGTTTAATGGAGCCATACGTAGTCAAATTTCAATTACACTACGCGCCCATCAACGCTCTGGACTCGATGCAAAAACACTAGACGCACCATCATTGCAGAATCCACATCGGGCCGGGCAGTCATCAGCCAAGATTTGACGCCAAAGAACGTCCTTGCACTGCGCGTCGGTGACCGTCTTGCAGTTGACGCGAGGGACTGAAGTAGATTTTGAATATCTGTCGTTCTCTCACTCGCGCGCTCTCGCTCCTGCTCTCTCTCTCTCTCTCTCTCTCTCTCTCTCTCTCTCTCTCTCTTTCTCTCTCTTCTAGTCGAATCACCCACATTCCTTGTTGGTGCAAGTGAACGCCGACGACAAGCAGCAATATCCGCAGGTCTTGGGGCAAGAAGCCACGGCTCCCATTTGAATGTTCGGGTCAAAGTCGGTGGTGCCCTTCCAGCAGGCGTTCGGGCTAAAAATTGGATCATGATATGGTAGTCCTGAGATCTCTCTCGTTCGCTCGCTCGCTCTATCTCTTGCTCTCTCTCTCTCCTCACCGATCAGTATTGTCTCCAACAGTCAACGCCGTGGTGCCGAACACGGCCGTGCAGAAAGCGTCGTTTTGCACGTTCTCGCAGTTGAAGGCAGACTTGTCGTACTGTAATTACGTACATTGAGCCACGTTTAGAGTCACAACCACAGCTAGATTTCACCGGCCTGCTACGGTATATACCAAAACTACCGTACCACTCCGGCCGATGTGCAGTTGAGATCAGTGATCGTCGCCGAGGCGCCGGCCATCAGCAAGGCGAGGGCCAAAATTGAGGACTTCATGCTGGAATGAAATTAGGAGTACGGTGGAATGGAATTAGGACTGTTATGGAGCTTTAAAAAACATATGATGGAAAATCAAGGCTATCTGGATGAATGTTTAATTGATGGGTCCTTTAAAAACATAATATGTCTAAAAAGAACCGAAAATCCAGAAATTTCCGAAATTTCCATAGCTAAGGCGATCGTCAAAAATCTTTTTCGGGATGCTACAGTACCCAAGACGCGCAATAAAATGTAAATTAGCCAATCAGAAAACTGTAAAAATTCGTTTTCAAGCGAAACAGTACCCGAAATAGCACGAAAATGCGTACAAAAATAAGGATTGTATTTTCCATAGCTACAGTCCCCAAAAACGGCAATAAACGGACAGCTATAGCTCTAGCAACCAAAAACAGCATTAAATCCAAATTAGCATACGGGAATTCGTCGAATCCCCAATTTCCCCATGGCTTTATACGCGATCTGGGAACTTTTGTGCGCACCCGGGGCCATTATTCTAATTTTACCCGCCAATCTGGGCAAACTTTTGCATTTTGGGGGACAAAGCGCCAGCGGATTTTCGCCTCCAATGCGTCGGCTATGCAAATTAGGGGCCCCGGGCGCGCATTTTAGAAAAGAGCACACGCGGTTGGGTCTCACCAGCTTGCTAGCTAGGCTGCTATGCAAATGTTGTGAAAAAGCCGTAGCGGGCCTGTCTGGTGACGCGCGCGAGTGGCGAAATTTGCATATGAAAATACAAAATTAATTAATTATGGTAGCAGCGTAATTCTGTTCAGCTTAGGCTTAGCTTAGGCTTAGCTTAGGCTTAGCTTAGGCTTAGCTTAGGCTTAGCTTAGGCTTAGCTTAGGCTTAGCTTAGGCTTAGCTTAGGCGTAGCTTATTGAGCATAGCTTATCTGGGATTTTCGATTTTTTGCATTTTGTGTTGCCAAAATCACGAATTAGCGAGTGGCGCACGTAACCTCACGGAATCTGGGAACAAGTATCTCGATTCACTCATCGCCACTATTTATCAGACCCCTGGGAACGGCAATTTTCTGCAGTCTGCCGTTCCAAAAACATTAAAAGCAGCTTTTTTGGTATCGTAATTTTATTCAATTTTCAGGGCGGAGATTGCCATTGCATTTTTTCTTTTTCATTTACAAAATTTTAGCTGTGGCGTAGTCTGTCGGGTGTCGCCTTGGCTAATTGTCTACACTTTAATTTTTGTTGAGATTTTCGATGTCTTCCCGTTCGTCGTTAGCATTGTGACGGAAACGGCGGGAATAGCAGCGTAGTAGCGAGACTCGAAAGAAAAGGAACAATCAACGCCACAGGCGAACGTGGTTTTCTATCCTTTGTGCTTTCAACGGCACTCCTCTTCTTTTCGGGGCCATTTTACGTCGGAAAATTGGCTTCGTTACAGGGTGATTTCAGTTGTTTATGTATCCATTTGAACTAGCGATAATTTAGATAGTGGCGTCTCGCTCTCTCTCGCTCGCTCTCTCTCTCTCTCTCTCTCTCTCTCACTCTCTCTGTCTCTCTCTGTCTCTCTCTCTTTCTCTTTCTCTCTGCCTCTCTCTGCCTCTCTGTGTCTCTCTGTATAATTTGCTACGTTTCAAAACAATAATACTAATATATTTTTGATGACGCCGTCCGGGTGCCTATTTCTGACCTTTTGTCTCTCAATTCCCCTCCTAGGGCCCAGCCGCGCGTAATTGGGCCCCCCAGCCATGAATCCATCCTAGGGCCCTGCGCCCAGCCAGGACCCCCCATAATAACTCCTCCAAAACGCGCGGCCAGCCGGGAGGAAACACCTCTCTCTCTCTCTCTCTCTCTCTCTCTCTCTCTCTCTCTCGCTCTCTCATTCCTGGTACACGCTATATTCAACCACAAAAACTGCAAGAAAAGTCAGATTTCCACGGGGCGGTGGCTGGCTGATGGCTTTATTGTTTGGCTGTGTTTTTCCAATCGAGGTCCCATACCCGCGGGAATCCAATTTTTACGTTTATCTTGCTCTCTCTCTCTCTCTCTCTCTCTCTCTCTCTCTCTCTCTCTCTCTCTCTCTTTCTCTGTCTCTCTCTCGGTCTCGCTCTCTGTCTCTCACTCTGTCTCTCTCTCTCTCTCTGTCTCTCTCTCACTCTCTCTCCAGACGCAAAAAACTTATTATATATTGATACTTTGGGGAGTGGAGCCGAGTTTACAGTTAATTTCGAGTGACTCAAAACGGCTAATTCCAATTTTTGGAATTTGCAGGAGAGTGGTATTGACTTAAATGGGCTAGGAAGTGCCAGCATCGACCGCTGACGGCAACTAGGTCTCGACAGCTACGTAGAGCGCCAAAATACGCGCGGAATTTCGGCTCCCTGGCTGTCGAGACCTAGTTCACGGCGACGGACGGATCTTGATGCGCTCTTGAGCTTCGATGGCCCCTTTAAAGCTATAAAATTTGTTAGTAGCCATAAGGATATTATTATTAATGCTCAGGACAAAAATCCAGAGCTGCAAATCTATAAGCCTGCCTTGAACGGCCCTTTACACCCTGGCAAACCCATCTGGAGTCGTGGTTTGCACGCTATTTTTTCCCGATTCTACAGCTTTCCAGCACAGGAGAAGTATTATGTAGTCTGTAGTCCGTAGTCTGATTCCCGTTTTTCGGTTTTCTTCTATATCTGCTATACAACACGACTCGATTTCGGTCCATAAAGTCGCTTTTTCCCGATTTTTCTCTATTCCCGAGGCATCAAATCGTAGCGTGTCCGCTCTCACTATCTCGCACTCTCTGTCTCTCTCTCTCATTTTCCCATGGCTACGGTACCCGCCTCATCGCCACTTTTTCCGTCTAGGTGCATGAGATTAAGGGCTTCTCCCGGCTTCTCCACCCCCTAAACCCTCCGTTTCTCATTCCCGTCAAAACGATTAATTAGTCAATTGTCTTTCCTCCGTTCTCTCTCTCTCTCTCTCTCTCTCTCTCTCGCTCTCTCTCCGTTCCATTTCTTTCCTCTTGACGCCAATCCTCCTTCGCGTCGTCTAATTCGTATGCTGGGCAAAACCACCAATTTTCTGTGGACCTCTGGTTCCCCTACAAGACCTGGAGACTCTCCCTTTTTTATTTCCCGAATTTTGGTTCCAATTTTTGAGAGGAGCGTGACGTCGGCTAAAAATAATTTAATTCGAGGCTTTTGCTGAGATGTCTGGGAATTTTTAAAGAAATTTCTGCTGGAATAAGGTGGCATCTAGTTACCGTAATCGTTGAAAAAATTTGTTGGATAAATTATTTTAGCGCTTTTGATATAGTTAAGTAGTATTTTCTAAATTAAAAATTAAATGAAAGCATTTTGGCGGCCCCACATACTTACAAAAGAAAAATCCTCCGTCAAAGCTCGTGAGATGGTAATATTTAACGATTCATAAATTTAAAACAATTAAGATTGGCCTGAAAGGCGAAAACCGACTTTGTGGCCAAAAAGCAAAATGTAAGCCCAATGCGGGGCTCGAACCCGCGACAACCAGATTAAGAGTCTGGTGCTCTACCGACTGAGCTAACCGGGCGGCGAGTGGTGGAGAGGGATTGGGGGTCATAAGGGCCCTCCAACACCCCCGGCAGCCTGGCCCTTCTGTTGTGGTCGAGGGGCGAGTCGCAAGAAATTGTGCACGCCTGCGCGTTGCGTTTGCGTGGCGGTTAAATCCGTCTAGAATCTCCATAACCGTGCCTTTTTCATACCTTTAAAGGTATATTGGTATCACGCTTTAATGATCCACTTCTACCTCATTGTCTCTGATCTCTGCTCGGCAAGCTAAGCTAGTTTTGTCTTTCTTTTTCTTCGCTTCCCGTTGTCTTTCTTCCACCACCTTCCCCCGTCCCGAATATTGCTTTTTCGAAATCAAATCAACGGCCCAGTTAGGGGCAGCATTGTCCGGGGTCCCATTATAATTGTTCTCCCACCACCCAACACAGCCCAACTCCCTCACCCCAGCCATTTTTTCCGGACCCACACTCCGAACACTGTGCCCGGGGTAGCAGATGATTGGCATGGGTGCCTGCAGCTGCTTTTAATTAGACTGCTGCGTTTTTGGTGGTTTTCGACTTGCAAACTGACGAGTTCCACTAACAAGACTACGTTACGCTACCTTGCGCTGCGCTACGGAACTCAGGGCACATACGTACCGGCTACGCTGCGATACCTTAGGCTACGTGAGACTACGTTCGTGCACGATCGAGTGAGCAGTATCAAGATACGCAAAATATTAAGCTTCACTACTGTTTTTTCGTTACGCAATGTTAACCCTGCGCCTACGATGAAGTGCGCAACGCGACGATACCTTACGTTATGATAAGCGTGAGATCAGATAGCAAATCAGATCAGATTATATACGCTAGGACACATACGTTACTTTCCCCAAACTTCGCTTATACGCTGATTCAATAAGACGACCCGATACGCTATGACGGGGTACACTACAAAACGCTACCCTGCGCAACATTCGATTCGGACGTATCACGGCATACTTTAAGCGACGCCACGCCTATGCTACGCTACGTCTAGGCTACGCGAGGCTACGAAACGATACGCCACGAGGCGCCGTTTCATTATCATCCCGAGGCTGCGAAACGCTCCAAAAATCGCCAATTTTTGCAAGTCGTGTCGAAAATCGCTCTGCTAAATCACAACCCGTTCTCTCCGCACTAGTTGGCCCGTTCGGGTTGCAGCAGGTCTATCCAGGTGAAACTACCGCTTCTTATTCAATATCTATTCCATAAAAACCGCCTTTGAACTTGGCCCCTCCTGGTTGTTTATCGCCACTCACTACTCCCCATTTTGGGTGCTCTTTTTTAGGCATCCAAATTCAATTGTTAGGGGCTTGATTTAGGTCGGTGGCCAAAACAACCGCACAATTGGCCTATTTCCGCATTTGGCATACATGGTACTGTAGGATTGACACGTTTCAGGGGGCGTAGTTTGGCCTCCCGCCCCGGAAATTCGACAATCGAAAGTGTAGCGAAGTTTTTTAGGGCCCGGAAATTGGCGCTGGGCCAAACTTTGCACTGGATTTTGTCATCCCACGTTGAATTATCCCGCTAAAAATCGGGACCAGATTTTGTCGGGATTCCGCTGGCAGGATTTTGACCTATCGAGATTTTGACTGTCGGGATTTTGCCGTTTTTGCCGGCTCTTGGCAGTGAGCTGGTACGCATCAGTACGTCAGGACAGCCTCCAGTCTGTACATTTCCGGACGTCTCGATATTACGCCTACCACCCCCCCGTTCAAAACACTTGAGAGCCACTAGAATTCCAATCTAACCCTTGAAACGTCCCAATCTGTGACCCCGTTAATGAGGCGAAACCGGAAACCCGGAAGGCGAGAGAGAGAGAGCGAGAGAGAGAGAAAGGGAGAGATAGTGTGAGAGAGAGCGACAGAGAGAGAGAGAGAGAGCGAATCCAATTTTTCGCTAGTGACTCTCCGCGTTGATACCCCGCGGTTTTTTTATGGCCTACTAGTGCCCGCGGTTTCGGGTCCAATTTCCAATTGGCCGCTGCTATGTGGGGCCAGCTTCTCAGTAGGTGGGTTCTCACATTTGAATGGGCTCTAGCCAGATGAGAAGAGAGAGAGCGAGAGAGAGAGAGAGAGAGAGATGGGTGAAGTAATTGAGACCGTGGTCTTCATTATCTCCCACATCTCCTCCCCAGTTTTGTTTTTGCAATTTCTTTTCCGGATTTCTCGGGATCCCGGATTTTTGACGTGAAGCTCACGTAATAATATTTACTGGAAGGGACGGGTAAGGTATGGCTATGGAATTTGGTTTGCTATGGAATCCCGGTGGGCTACCATGGCTGCCCGCGACACGCGACGCGCACGCTCCGCTTTCCATTCCCCACCAGATTCTGACCTCTCTGACCCAAAAGAGGCGGCCTCCATGCCGGCCTTTCACACAGACCCGTCATCACCCCCAAACCCGCCCCACCGCTCACCGCCCGGTTAGCTCAGTCGGTAGAGCACCAGACTCTTAATCTGGTTGTCGCGGGTTCGAGCCCCGCATTGGGCTTACTTTTTGCTTTTTGTCTAAAGAATAGCGGTTGGCATTCCCTGCCTTTTTTATTTATTTTTAGACAGTTTAATCGCCAATTAACACTATTAGTTAGCAGTTTCTTTCTTGTTAGCTACGTCAGGGCGTTTCTTGCGTTAACAAAATTTAAAAGTTCGGTTTCGCCGGCCATTATTTGCGTAACGGCCTTTTAAATACCTCTGCATATCCTCAACACCTAGTATCTATCGCTAAGGCACGGTATCTTTTTAGCCTTCACAATCCCGTTAAGATCCCACTCCCCCATTCCCACCCCTTCCTATTTTCGTTCTATTGTTTTGAATAGGAGGCACGATATTTTGCCCCGTTCGTACCGAGGCCCGGGGCGACCACATAAATTTGTAGCCATCCCCCCCCTTCCCGTTCCCACACTATTTTCTTGGATTTTTTTTGAGGAAATTTTTCCGTGGCGGCTCGGCTGGGCGAGGCTTTTTGTGGCGCACGGAATCGAGATGGGGGATCGGGAAAAATATATCTCGTCACGGTATGTAGTGGATAGCTAGGCGGGATCGGGATTCGTAATTAGGAGCACTGAGTGATCACGTGGCTCGTAAGCCTAAGGCTAATTGCAAGCCTAAGCCTAAGCCTAAGCCTAAGCCTAAGCCTAACTGTAACCCTCTTATGGTCGAAGTGGAAATTCCGTACGTGAGATAGCACATCTTGTGCAGAATTTTTTGCTGATTCCGAATCTGTTTTCAAAAGTTGCGGAACCCCTCAGATTAAAAAGTTACAAGCGTTTTAAATACCCAAAATGCCACAAATCGCTTGCTTTAAAACGTTCTAAAAATTCCGTAAAATACTTTTGGGGGGAGAGTAAGGCATTTTCCGGGGTAAAAAAACATGCTCTTTCGAATGGGCTACCTCACAAACCCGTAGCTCAAAATTCGTAAAATTTCGAAAATCGACGATCTTGGGCATGAATCCGCCAAAAAAAACTTTTTTGCAAATTTTGAGCTACGGGTTCGTGAGGTAGCCCATTCGAAAGAGCATACTTCGACCATAAGAGGGTTACAGTAAGCCTAAGCCTAAGCCTAAGCCTAAGCCTAAGCCTAAGCCTAAGCCTAAGCCTAAGCCTAAGCCTAAGCCTAAGCCTAAGCCTAAGCCTAAGCCTAAGCCTAAGCCTAAGCCTAAGCCTAAGCCTAAGCCTAAGCTAAGCCTAAGCTAAGCCTAAGCCAAGCCTGGGCCTCAGCTTAAGCATGCTTTTCGTTCAGAAGAGCCGGGTTCCATCCCGCCCAGGCGCAGTCTTTGCTTTTTCTGGAAAAGATAGGTAATTCTGCTCTACTACTTTTTCCACGGTTTTTTTACATGAATTGCAGATTTACAGGATGTTACAGAGGTTGTAAAAATTATTTCTTTGGTTATCTAAGAGTCACTTTGATAAAATTACGCAAAGAAATTTGCCTATTTTGACTTTTTACTTTTACTCCTATGTTTTCAACCTTACCTATTGACTATTTTGCATTCCACCCGTGCCCGAAATCCCATTACCACCGCGTCACGTCACCTCCAAAATGAGTTATTGAGGCCCGTGGAGGGCAATTCTAATGTATTTATGAGTGTACTATGACATTAACACCATTCTGACGAATCGGTTTATTTTTATCCGAAGTAATATTGGTTCTTAAAAACGAAAATCCAAAAAAAAGATTGAAAACAGCAAAATTCTAGTAAAATTTTCATGATCAATAAAACCTCCTACTAATACGTTAACTTTATATGTTTAATTTCAATTAAATGTTAATAAAGTCTAGCTTAAATCATTAAAATTGTTCAATATTTAGGTATCATAATTATTGCTACCAGGTTCCCATATCAAATTTACAAGCCTGACATCATAATTAGCATGCGAAAATTGCGGAGGTTGTGCTCCAAAAATTGATGTGTGAAAGGGAAACATGAAAGTACCAAATTCCCAGGCAGAAATGTTTCAAATTTAGCTTAGAATTGAAATTCGATAAAACATGTTTAACAGTTAAACTTTAAAGGGACTCGGACAAGGCGGCGCTTGTGCATCAAATTTTGCCAACGCAAAATTTATCTTTTTTCTTGCAAATTTTCCTATCATCAAAACTTGCCGTTTACTACTCATCACCACCTTTCCGCACACCCTATTCGCTCATCTTTCCGGTCTGCCGCCCACACCCCACCTGGCATTGTCTTTTTAGCCCGTTTTATATTCTTTTTTTTGGGTCAAAGAAAAATATATAAAAGAGAAGGGAACGCCCCCACGATGAGGCCTTCTGGATTAGTCGCACGGAATGGCGTGGGGCTTTGAGGGTTAATTTGTTCATTTTATGGACAGTTGTCGATCTCTCTCTGTATGTCTCTCCCTCGCTCTCTCTCTCTCTCTCTCTCTCTCTCTCTCTGTCTTTAATTCTACTGTATTTCAGAGGCTTCCCAATGACCGATGAGCACCGTACAGAGGATCGTCCCGTCATCGAACCCCCTCCACCGGCCGATCCGCATCCTGTAGAGCAGGTGCTTTTTTCACACCTCCCTATTACCTCTTAATGGTCCCGTGGCGTGTTATAAAAATCAACACAGGTGCAGGTGTTGAGCTGAAAAGTTATGGGTCGAGAGAGAGAGAGAGAGAGAGAGAGAGAGAGAGAGATAACTATATTACGTGTCCTGATTTCAGGTTGAAGCCCAACCTCTCGAGCCTAAAGTTCCACTACCCGACGAACCGGAACCGTGTCCGGAAGAAGCGGAATGCACGGAAGACCCCGTGGAAGCAGAATGTGACGAGACCAGTGCAAGCTGGAAGGCTCTACAGAAGGTAGAGCGCTTTCAAGGGGTTTTTACAGTACCCAGGATATGCTGATTATAGACCGGCTAATAAAGATAAATATGCCAAATTAATATCCCTTTACAACCTATTCTGCGGAAAACCGAAATTTTACCGTGGTATTTCGGACCCCTTCCCCGGAGGCCTCTCCGATCCCTCATCACCCCCAATCCCTTCCCGTGCATCGCCGCCCGGTTAGCTCAGTCGGTAGAGCACCAGACTCTTAATCTGGTTGTCGCGGGTTCGAGCCCCGCATTGGGCTTACTTTTTGCTTTTTGGCCAAAGACTCGGGACCTGGGTTTGTTGGTGTTTTTAGCGATTTCGGAACCTGGCCTAGGTGAATTACGCTGTTGGACCCAACCCTAGGTGTAATTTATAATAACACTTTCAGGTCCGCCAAATCCTCGTGCTGCCGAGTACCCACAGCAAATGCCACGACTCCATCCAAGACCAGCTGTCCTCCTTCACGTCGTTCGCCGAGGCGAAGCTGCTCGAGTACCGGGAGGTGGTCAGCCCTCAGAGAACTGTCGCTTTAACCCCACACAATTTGCTTTTTAACTATTTAAGTTCCGCCTACTATTAACACATTTTTTGTAGTATACTAACAGCTATAGTGTAGCTTAATAATCGATATTCGATCGATGTTTAGTAGATAGTTTAGCGGTCCCTTTTTATCCCTACAAAACTCCACGATATTCTCAGGTGTTGGCCCAAACGTCAGTCTGCGTCTTTGTCGTCAACTACGTCCAGAATCGATACGTGTCCACCGAATTTTGCGTGGAAATTGCGAAATTGTATGATGTGTTTGAGGTGAGTTTTTATCGGCATTCAATGCTGCTCTAAAATGAAAGAATTCTATTCTTTGTATCTGTAGAAATTTAAGTTAATTACCAAAAATTAAATGAACGTATTTCGGCTTAAACTTCAGCAAAATTTGATTAGAAACTCCGTATTAAAAAAGCGAATTACATTAAAAAAAACTGGTTACATGAAAATTCGAGCAAAATTCAATCGCTTAAAGAGGCTCCGAAATCTGGTCCACGGCCCCCTGCTGTGATTCCTGGCAAATAGCCAGATGCGACCGCAACGCGACCGCGCCGCATGGTCTTTTGCCCCTGTTTGGACGCGAAAACGCTTGAATTTAAAAATTCTGCTGCTATTTTTGGAATCTTCACCAAATTTTGATCTTTCCAGACTTTTAAATTATGAAAATTGACCAGAGAATCGCCGAGATCGAGAGTTTGGGTGCCTTACAAGGCATTACGACAGGTAATCGCCGCGCACTCAAAATCTCGTTTTCGCCCCAAAAAGAATTCGGATTTTCTCAGATATTTTACGTTTTTTCGCAATGAAATCACTTTTCTGGCACTTCTCGGCAGTGACCCTTGCGTTTTTTGACCAGTAGGTTCAATCCCCGCACGCACGAATTTTGACTTCTGAGCCCCTTTAAATTAATTAATTTGCAGGATTTTCATCAATTTCGAAAAATAGAATATTTTAGGTGGAGCACAAAGCCGATTTCTTACAAGCTGTCGAAGCGCTGCGAAAGGGCTCGGATGCAGGTAAAGTCTTTAGTTTAATTTAATCGAACAGGACTGACAAGCTATCGTACGCGACGCAATACGCAACGCGCTGTCATTCAGCTTTTATACAGTTTTTCCGGAATATTTTTAATATTTTAAAATGATTTCAGATGCCCGAGCAGTTGTCGAAAAATTTGACGACATCGTCTCGAGATGGGACGAATTTCTGATCGATATTGACGGGCAAGTGGATGAGAAAGTCGGTCCATACGAGAAGGGACCACAAAATGGTATGCTAATTTTGCTGAAATCTGCTTGCTTACCCATCCCTTTAGAAGCAGCGCATGTCGGACCGATGAGTGAGTCCACTTGGATGTTTTCTCTGGAAATTATAGTTAGTAGCTTGGGGTCTCCGATAAAAATCCTGCTACTTGAATTTCGATTTTGCAGCCATATTGTGTTGCGTATTGTGCCGTAATCTATCCTATTAAAAGTTCATAGCTTTTTGCTTGTCCGTCCCTACACTACGCTTCTTTAGACGACGAGGCGGCCAGTTTGGGTGTGCACAGCAAAACGATCGCCCATCTCGTGAATGGCACTCCCTTCGATATGGTGTTGATTTTGATTGTTCAGTGAGTTTTTTGTTTTGTTTTTGGAGGTTTAAAGTGTCCGAGAAGAAGATTCTCGACCTGGGTATAGGTTAAGCTGAAGCCTACGCCCAAGACTATTCCAAGAAGTTCAAACCTTTCAGCACCTTCCAATCCCAACAAATTAACCAACGGATTCTCGACCTGTATCAGCATATGCAAGAATTACACCAGTTGGGCTCCGATGTACACCTATTGACGAGGGGACCGCCTATTGGATCAAGAGGTAGAGAGAGAGCGAGAGAGAGAAAGAATGAGAGAGAGAGAAAGAGAGAGCGAGAGCGAGAGAGAAAGAGAGAGAGAGAGAGCGAGAGAGAGAGAGAGAGAAGGAGAGAGAGAGAGAGAGAGAGAGAGAGAAAGAGAGAAAGAGAGAGAAGGAGAGAGAGAGAGAGAGAGAGAGAGAGAGAGAGAAAGATAGAGAAAGACGATACACTAACCCAACGTTTTCTGACCAATTTCAGGAAATCGAGGTGAGTCCAGCAAATCGGAGAAGCCTCCCAAAAATGGTCGCTTCCAAATTTCCCTTGGCTTTTGTTGTGTTCCAAAATTTTGCCGATTCCCCCGCTTTACACCATCATTAATGCACAAATAAGGGCGACTTTTTAGGCGGAAGCTACCTGAAGCTGATCGGAGTGCCTTTCCGGAGACTGTACGATGAGAACGAGGCGGTTGAAGAGCTGAGGAATCACAGGAGACCCGCTGTCGCTTGTGCCGGATGGGACGCGTTGCTTACGGTAGGTAGGCCTACCTAGCGGTCCGCAGTCGATTCCGATTTTTACCATTTAGGTATCTATCGAAAGCTCTCGACAAGGCGAGAAAACAAGGAGGGTTGAATTTCTTAATTAAGCCTTTTTATTTGCTAATTTTATGTCCAAAAACCATGAAAACTGCTGATTTATGCGAGATCTGCATGCTAATTGCGAAATTCCTGATGAAAAATTCCCGGCTTTTTAGGAAAAACTGAAATATCGATAGAATCAGATTAAATCTTAGAAAACGAAACCCGCTTGTTTTCTCGCCTTTCCGAGAGCTTTCGATTGGTATAAAAATCATTCCGATCCGATCCGATTGACGGCCTCTAGAGGGGGGGTTTGGGGCACCCTGTATAACCTTTAAGTGTCAGGTCACCACACCTTTCAACGCTCTTTTTTAGGTCGTCGAAGTCTCCATCGGCGACAGCATCCGCGAGCCAAAGAAAACAAAACCTGCCGACCGAAACGCTTCGAATGCATCCCCTCAACCACCCGATAATTCACATTTTATAACCCAAAAAGGAGGGATATTACTCGTCAACCCGCAGGGCACCATTCTATTCATATACGTCGAAAACGACGGCACCCAATGGCCACCGATCGAGGAAGTTGTTAAACAGGTAATTTTCCCCACCTTAGCTTACTGTCCGGCTCGATTAAAGGGGTCGACGGGGCGTGACTGTCTAGATCTCGGCATCACGAGGGGTCAATCTTAGGACATCCTAGTCCTTTTAAAAGAAATTCACATAAAAAATTCGATTTTTTATGTGAATTTTTTCTTATTATGTTTCTGCCATACAAATCACCTTAAACCGAAAAATATAGCCTAAATTTCTTGATTCCAGGTCCAACAGCACTCAAAGCGAAAAGTCAAGGAAAAGCCGGCGAACGGCAAGGTCGACAGCGAGATATCGGCCAAAAAGGTGGATGGGGACGAGAAGAAGAAATGCTGCACCATTCTCTGAATATATGATTATTCTTAACTCAAATTAACTTATTATTTTTGTAATTGATGTCTCTGTTTCGCTGAGATCTCTCTCCTCTCTCTCTCTCTCTCTCTCTCTCTCTCTCTCTCTCTGCAGTCATCCCGCTAGCAATAAGGTTCCGATGATCTCCATGACCCGAAAAAATTATTTATAGTCATGCTCCACTCTTTCAGAACTGATTCTCGACAATTCCTTGACCCCTTGAAAAGTGCCAATAAAGAAATTTTACATCTAAAAGCCCATAAAATGACAGCAAATTTAAAATAAGCAAAAACGACGATCAAATGAGCTAAATGGGGGTTAAAAATAGCTTCCAAGCACGTGAGAAGGTGTCGATGTTTTGGCAGTTTTAGCACGATTGCTCTCTCTGGCTCTCTCTCACTCTCTCCCTCGCGCTCCCTCACTTCCCAATCTCCCTAAAATAACAGTGGAAAATGATCCGGAAACCCCCCATCAGCGCACGGATGGGTGGAGAGAAATTGTGTGTGTGTGTGGGTGGATGGATGGATCGAGGTGATCGATCCCCTCCACTCCTCTACACGCCCATAAATGTGGCCCAGTTATCAGCATCGACGTCGGAAAGCACAAACTGATGGCGTTAGTCCGGTCAGTTTTTATGGATTATCTTCCTTGCCGTTCCCTTGAAAACATTTCCCTTTGCCTCGCCAAACTCCCTCGACATGCCTCGATTTAAAAAGGCTAACGTTTGGGGAAAACGCCAAACGCCGACAGGCAAAACCCCGACTGGCGAAAATCCCGACAGCCATAATCCCGACACGCCAAGCTACGATATACAAAATAGCTGTTTAAAAAGAAGTGCCATTGAAACTACCGACAAATATTTCGGCATTTTGCTGACAGGATTTTGGCAGTCGGCCTTTGCCTATCGGCGTTTTTTTATTTATTATCTTATTGCTATTTTTATTTTTAGCGCGTCATTTGGAGCGTTGCGTAGCCGACCGACAGCTGTGACTGTGTTATTTGGAGTGTAGCTTACTTTAAAGTTCGGATTTAGGTGTAGCTGAAAATTCAATGATGTTTTTACCGCAGCTGTTTCATATTTCCTAAATTTTTCTATCGATTTCAAATGCGTTAAAATCCAATTAGAACATCCCATACCGTCCCGTAGTGACAATCTTCAGTTCTGGTGGATCATCCTCCCCCAACTATGCCTCCTGCTACTCCTCATGCTCTACCTGGTAGTCGGCGCCCTAATCTTTCGTATGCTCGATAAAGATTTGGCCGAGCAGAAGATCTGGGATGTCATTTTGTTCGAGTACGGAACGATCGCGACTATAGGTAAGTCATTTCTATGTCCTACATATCGTATTTTTCCAGGCTGGGGCAACGTTTATCCAAGCACAGAGAAAGCACGGCTTTTCGCTTGTTTATATGCTTTAATCGGGATTCCGTTATTTTTGCTGTACAGTACGTTACTTTCCACCCAACGGAAGTCATTATTCTAGTTGCGAGTTTATGTAAATACGTTACGAAAGTTTATTGGTGGTTGCTGTATTGGTTTGGATTTGTAAGTTGTAATTTTGTTGAAGAGAGAGAGAGAGAGAGAGAGAGAGAGAGAGAAAGAGAGAGTGTGAAAGCGAGAGAGAGGGAGAGTAACATCTGTTTATAGCTGATTTTTTCGTTTAAGAAAAGTTTCAAGGAGGTTCGGGCGAAGATTTCGACAGATGCCCGACTCCCGATTAAAGCCACACTCTTCCTATTTCTATTTACTTTTGCTATGGGCTCGTTTTTCATCAAACACACTGGCGATCCATTTACCATAGATGACATCTACTTCTCCTTCATCTCATTCACTACGGTTGGATTTGGAGATACGGTAAGTGACCTTGTTAGTCGAGAGTGCGAGAAAGAGAAAGAAGGAGAGAGAGAAAGAAAGATAGAGAGAGAGAGAAAGAAAGATAGAGAGAGAAAGAAAGAGAGAGAGAGAGAGAGAGAGAGAGAGAGAGAGTGAGAGAGTAGACCTTAAAATCCGGGAAGTCGTTCCTCCCAAGCTCTTACGTCATTAGAATTCGAGGTACAGCTGCTTCAAAAAAGATCACTGACTTCTATCATTTCCCACCTGCGTATTCCCAGAGAAAGCTCCTTCTTGCCCAGCTAGAAATAGGAAATAAGCGTTGCTGATCTTACTGATACCTGAATGACTAATAAAATTAAATGCCTACGCTGCGTTCGCTTCAGTAGCTAGTGGCTCGCAAAATCGCGCAAAACACCGGCTCATTTTCCAGTCCCCAGTGGTGAACAACGTTCCCGAGCTCGTCTTCACGATCGTCTACCTAACCTGGGGAATCGTGTTGACGACAGCGTTATTTCGTGGACTTCACGATTTTATGAAAAAGGTTTGTCAAAATGGGCGGCGGCACAAGCTGCAAAAAGCCTACGACACTCGGGATTCCCAAGCCGTCTCCGATCCAGGTACTAACCGAGCCCAACGTTGCTTAACTTGGCAGATCGGACGGGATGCCGTGCTTTCAACGTGGTATGGTCGTAGGCGATGAGAGGGAAGGTAGAGCCGTTGATGAGGTGCAACTCGTAGCCCTGTGCTCTCGGTGTTTCAAAACATCCCTCCTCGAGTCTGCCTACGCCTACGACCATACCACGTTGAAAGCACGGCATCCCGTCCGATCTGCCAAGTTAAGCAACGTTGGGCTCGGTTAGTACTTGGATCGGAGACGGCTTGGGAATCCCGAGTGTCGTAGGCTTTTTGCCGTTTTTTTTGGTATGCCAGGTGATTTCGATCGGTTAGAGCGAGATCGCTTTTATAGGTCCACTACCTAGGACGTCGCTTTCGTGGAGCTCGCGACGTTCCGGTGTATATCGGAGGTCAACAAGTCACCGTCAGCAGTCTGATGGCAGCTGTGGCAAAGGAGTTTGACGTAGGTATCAACGAGCTGTTCAAGAAAACTCAAATTTTCCGGCCTCTCCACGTGAGATCAGGTGTATGCTGCACGAACTGGACGACCTGATCACGGCGTCGACGAAGAACCCAGTGCCGCTAGTGCGGGTTACGGATATTGAAGACTTTGATTGCTACGAATAAAACAAAAGATGGGAATCAATTCGTTGATAGCGTTAAAGGACCGTGCAAGACAGGGCTCAACGCGCAGCCCAGCTATTCAAATGCGTAATCGATTATAAGCCGTCGTTGGGTATCGCGAGAAAGGAATTTCCGAGGGAAGCCTTGCAAGTGTTAGCTAACATCAAGTTCTCCGCTCATTTAAAATATGATACTCCTAAGGGTGTAAATGGTCCAATGAACGTTCAATTGGTGCTTTGGCATTACCGAGGGGGGGGGGGGGGGGCGTCACAGGTGGCACCAAATCTTTCGGTGTTCACGGTTCTATTTTTTTTTGCTTGCCTGGACTTTCCTGGACATAAAAGTTTACTATTTTTTCGAAAATGGCCGATTATCAACCAAAATTGGAAAATTCTCGAGGTTTTTTTTAGATGGTTTATTCGGTGAAAAAATAGCTTAACCTTACCAAAAAGACAAAACTTACCTGATAGCTACAAATCATTGGCCTAGACTATCCGTTCCCATTCACACACCTCAAATCCCATTTAGCACCTTCCCCGAGGACCACTAAAAAATTCTAGTCTCTACCCGCAACGTAACCGACCAAAAGGATCGAGCCCCCAGGCGTGATCATTTACTCCCCGAAAATGCCATTAGCTGTGCCGAATGTTGTACCGTGACCAGTAGCCGGCAACCACCCCCCCCTCCCCACGCCTCTTCAGTCTCCCGATGATTTTTCGGTTTATAGACAGGTGGAAAGGGGTGGGCAATTCTGGAACTCTTGCGTCGGCGGTGTATTTTTGCTCGCCTCGGCCTCGACATTTTCATTGCTCCAGGAGCATGGTTTTGGATCGATACCGCTTCTCATTCGGTTTTAAGGCTATAAATCTTCTAGAACATAACTTAAGAACACTCGCATTACTGTGAATACTGGAGCACTTTCAAAGTTAAAATTAAAATTCGCATAGCATAGCTAAAATGCGATACGAATTTTTATCCTTTTTTTACCTATAAGTCGCAAGGCAATATTTCTTTCAAAATCGTGTTAGTAGCTATGAAATTTTGAAAACCTTCCTCCTAACGCTCTAATATTATTAAGAGCAATAAATTGCCTCACTGAACCCACCTAGCGCAACGAAACACGTAATTGCAGGTTTCCGCCACCACCATTTAGCCGATCCCCCCGTTCATTCCAGTCCCACTTGAGTACCCTTTTCAATCGCAGGAAACCCCTGTAATTTCGCGTATAAACTACGTTTCTCCAGATCACTATAAAGCACTATTAAATCTGTATGCAAAAGCGTTCCAGCCTTGATGCCACTGCCCTACAGCCCGGATCGATCGAAATTCGACTCGGAGCACTACTACTTGTTTCAGATAAATTTTACGCTTCGCGCAATTGCGGTGCCAGTTTTGGTGGGTATTTTAAAGTAGCAAAGAGATACCTTAAGAAAGCTCGACGTTGTTTCCCTTCTTTAGGCAATCGCCGTAATGGCCAGCCTGTGCGCCATGTTCCTGATGTGCAGAACCTGGGAGTTTCATCGGAATTTCGCGCAATTATACCTTAACTCGATGATGCTCACCGTTATAGCTGAGGCGGCCGCGGTGGTACAGATGATTTTTGAGATGTTCGATGACCCGGATTGTAAGTTCGGAACGACAGGCTGTAACTTACCTGCTTTTCAGACCAAACTGCCATCACAATCTGTCTTTGGGTCCGTAACTACCACATCTGTAGCGTGGTAATCACGTTAAATGTTGTGATGACCGAGAGGCTATTCGCTACGTACTTTATAGGTATCAAAAATTAATGCATAAGAATTACGATAAAATTTTAGCAAACTATGAGGCGCATCGCTATTGGTGGGTGGCAGCTGGATGCGTCGGCTATGTCCATCTAATGTCTGCCGCCTGGAATTTTTTGTGGTCATTAGGTAAGTCAAAGTATAGAAAAGTAATAGGTAAAACCATTCAGACCTCATTCAAGTCGACGTAACCGTCGCGATTGCCTTGATAAGCCATGTTTTCCCGCTATTGGTAAGTTATATAGTCATATGCATTCACTTGACGCCTCAACTGTCTAACTCTTGGTTTCTTTTAGTCCTTGTAAAATCTTCTTTTCTTTATCCTACTGTGCTTTTAGGTCATCTACAAAGTGCATCGCCTTAATCGTCGACTCGAAGAGAAGCGGTTGAGCCAAATCGCGTGGGCAAAATATTCGCTGTCGCAAAGATTCCAGCTTCATGAGAATCTGCGCACTATCATTGTGCGTTCAAGTTTTTTATACCTCGAATTACTTAAGATTTAGTTCGTGCGCAACGTCTACATCTTCACCGTATGCTTCGATTTCCCGATTCTCGGATTTATCTGGCTGTATTCGGCGGCGGATAGCGAGACGGCGAGGTGCTTCTGGGCCACATTTGCTGATGCGCTATGTCTGGGGTAGGCGGTAAAGTTTACATAACTAGGGCCACCAAGCCAGTCTTAGTTGTTCGTAGTGTAATCTAGAAGTAGCATCAAATTTATTAATTTTGTGCTAGGTTAAGGAATGTTTCAGGTACGCCATTCACTACCCACTCCTCTACGCGATCTCCAGCCCCCGGTGTACCGAAGTCTTGAAAAGCTATATACAACGATTAGTCCCTCATCGGGGCAGGATCGGGGTATGGAATCTAGGTTCAACAGCACACTTAAATATTAGGTATCCTACAAGCCCCCACCCGACAAGCGTGATCTCGGCCAAATCGAGCAGGATAACCACTTTGCGTATTTACACGAACTTTGGGATGTGCGGATTTCGGCTTGAGTTTTGCGGAGAAAGTTAATTTGTTGCGGGTTATAAGAGTTTAATAAATTATTATTAGGAGTGGTACTCTTATCTGTACTTGCTTAAACAGATCTAGGCAATAAAAGCTCATAAATATTTATTAATAGTAATCGCCCGTATTTCTCCTCCCTAGAAGCGGATCTTGTTCGGTATGTGCTCGTGACCGGATTTGATAAGTATTAGCCTGGAAATCAAGAACGTTAGGAACGAGAAATATTCCTTACTCGTGATCGTACAACCTGCTCCAAATTGTCGATAATAGCATTGACACTCAATCGCCTTGTCTCCGGCAATCGCCGAAGAATCGCGGTGAAAAGCGTGACGACGAAGAAGCCTGTTATTGCATAGTACCAGGCCCCAATGCTGTTGATCAATGGTGGATAGGTGGAGAAGACGACCATTTGGCCGACCATAGCGACTAGGGCGGCTGTCTGAAAAGGCAAGGCGTCATCAGCAAGCATCAGGGACAAACTTGAGCCACGGCAGTTCTTATGCTCGGCACGCAGAGCTCGGCCATCATCAGGTAGGTCATGTTGCCGAAGCCGGAGTTGGAGACGAGGTTACCGAGCAGATTGACGGCAGTTCCTAAATTTAACGTTAGATACGTTTGAAAGAGAAAGGTAAACAACGTAAAAATTTATGGCGTAAAAACGTATTTGAACGCAAGGCATGCAAAAGAGCTGCTAGTGGATTTTTTTTGCTGCCTTGAATATAATTTTCAAAACTTTAACGATTTCCCGTATATAATTAAAAAATTAATCCGATAATCAACAAATATTATAATATTAACTATACCAACCAGTAATCTTCGACAACAGCCCAATTTGCCCCAGATCGTAGAGCACTTGGCCGGACGCCAGGAATAACACTTGGATGAAAAGCGCAACCCCACAGAATGCTGTGATGAAGCGGCGGCCGAACCTGAAAATAACACAAAACCTTCTTGATGATTATTAAAAGTTTTAATGAATAGAAAATTCGTAGAAACCATAAAAAGAGTTAGTCTACGATACCTCTCAACCGCATAAGCTGCCACAAAATTCAGCGGAAACAGCGACCCCGATATCAATATTCGTTGGAACATGATCTGAACACCTGCTTGTGCTTGCTTTTTTTGGAATACGGTACCTCATCCACGTTGTAGCCCAGCTTTTTCCTGATCGCCACATGATAGTTGACATCAATGTTGTTGGGTGATAATTGGTTGGTAAGGTCAAAGAGAAGGACAATTAGAAGGGCCTCTCTAGATTTCCAAACCATGGAGTACGGTCTAGAAACTCACCGATATTCCGTATCCTGCCACACTTTCCATAGCGTCGCCTGCTCTTCTAGCGGGTGGTGATGTTCTCGGCCGTACTGCTCCAGTATCTCCTCTTAATTTTTCGATACCATGGATTTTTGCGTGTTTTTTTACTTACCGACTTTTACATCGGGCCCATGGAAAATTTTGATAGCTCGTGACGCCTCGGCGATTTTTCCCTGAAAATTTGTGGTTGTCGGGGTTTAAAAAGATCAAGAATAGGAAGCCAAAGTTGTTTAATAAAATGATCTTACCTGGTAAAAGAGATACTTTGGCGACTCGGGGAACATGACACAAATTGCAAAATGGATGACCGCCATGATGGCGGAGATGAGTGGGATGTAGTGCCAGTTTTCTGAACGGATTTTTGCGTTAAATTTTACTGGTAAATAAATTTTAAGTTTTCAACAAACCAAAGGATCCGAAAACGTGTGGTTTTGCTAGTACAGACATTCCGATCCAGGCCGTAATTCCGCTTGTACCAAGGATAAGAGCCGTAGCGCCTGAAAATCACTTTAGCAAGGGCTTGGTTGTCACTAATATCTACGTAGCACGCTGTTTTAATATCTTTTTGACAAAGTATAAAACAATTACAAGCCAAATTTTGCGTATCTCCAAGGCCTAAATCCATACCACGTATCCGATTCGGCGCGCACTCGCTGAGATACATTATCGATGCATAGTTCATCAACGGAAAAGCGGCCCCGATGAACAATTCGCCGAGGAAGAACAGCTCGACGGAGAGCAGTACCTAAAATGGCTAAAATCTCACAAGGTACTGTAACAAACAAACCTTGGATAGAATCTGGCACGCAGCGCCGATGACACCACCAAGAAGGCATGGGAAATGTAACGCCATCACACGTCTACCCAAGGTATCCATTAACGGATAGAGGGCCATTAGTGAAAACATTGAGCCGATAATTTTGGCGGCGCTTATCATCCCGACAATGTAGGCGAAGCTGAAAATCTAGAATTTCTACAGATTTAAGCCATCAGGAGGTGTAGAAAACTAGAATTGAACGGCATTTTTATACCTTGTAATTTACAACTTTAATAATATTATAAATCAACCTCTGTCGATCCAGCACCACCCCATAATGATAGTAAATGCTTTCATTGTACATCCGTTCCAACGGTTCGGCCAGGGTGGAGAACCCGAGAATCTGAAGATGGGGAGTTGTAATGCGTAATTGGTCGTACCAGATATGTGGTGAAAGAGCCGAAAATGCATTGGGAGGCGATTCTGATGCCCAGCGGCCATGAGGGTAGGTAGTCCATCTGAAAATACGCATTCCTATAAAAATATCCGATACCCCGATTTTTATATAGAGCTAAATTGAAATTTAAAGGTTATCAATCCGGTTTTAGTTCGTTTTCTGTCCGTTTCGTCCGTTTTCTTTTGAAAATTTCATTTTAATCGATCTGTAATAATTTTTAGGCAGTTTGGGCAATTTAAAAATTGGCAAAACGCGATAACTAATTTTTATGATGACCAGATTAAGGTGTCGTTATCAAAATTAATAACGGTTTTCTGCGGAACGGCTCAAAACACATAAATGTTTTACTTTTCTAACTCACCCTGATCCGTATCCTTACCGGCAAACCGAATGGCATACAAGTCCACAAATAAAGTCACTAAAGCTAGCCCATCAGGCGTAAAGGCCGTTGAACTTTGTTGCGGTCAGCTGCCTGGGTCCAGTTTCGACAGCAAATTGTTAGAAACGAACGGCGGGAGGGGCGTCTCGTGCGTTTGTGCCGCTACCTTTGGGATCAAATATGCAAAAAGACAGAAAAGGGCCGGGGATGGGAATAGAAAGAAGTGATAAGACCGGGCAACGGAAGGGGCTGTCTGATCGGAGACGAGCTATTTCAAAAAGGCTCAAGCAATTTGATCTGTATAACGAATTTGGCTATGAAGGGGTCGAGTCATGGAAGGTACCTTGACCCTTGACAGTTCCTGGACGACGATGATGATGATCCTCCACAGGTCAACGATTTTGTGCTGCAATGGCTTTTCGCGGAGGGGTTCGAGCCGAACGGTTTTCCGGTAATTCAGAAGTTACCTATAAAAATTGATTCTAATTTTTAGAGCATCCGCGCTCTACCACAATGGCATCTACGGATCGCACATGAAATGGTCATCTACTACAAGAAGCATGGAGTTGTTCCGGACTATTTTTGCTAGCATTGTTTTTATCGTTTGTTCGGACACCACTATCCCGTGTAAATTATGTCCCTGCGCGAATTACCTTGCAGCGTACCTATCTTTGCCTGTTCACCTACTTTGGTGATTTTCACGGTTCCAAATATGCCTTATCCTCCGGGTTTTTAGGCTAGTAAAATGACAATAATTTTAATTGATATAAAAAGTAAATATCAATCAATTTACCTTCATACTGCAACAAAAGACAAGAAGAAATAAATAAATTTCAGAAGACAAAAGATCGGATCTGAACTGTAAATCTATTAGCTCAATTGCTTGTGAAATCTTTCAGGCAGACAGATTTTCGTCATGATAACGCAATATTTCTCTAGCATCAATTTAATCGCGTGGATCCGTATATGCCGGCGGTGTTTCAGACTAGATTCTCTCGATAAGGATTAGGTGGGGGCGATGAATTGTGCAATGTTATGCAACGTGTGTCACCCGGCTGGGGGCGTGGCTTACGCTGAAATAACAGCCCCCTACTCTTCGAACTCTTTCGGTTTCTTCCTTGTTGGTTACCGCTTTTCCTGTAACCGAATCTTGTTCATTTTTCCATTCCTTTCCTTGTCTTTATTTCCAATGTTTTGCAGGTTTTGAATGAACTCTTAATTTCCGGTAATTACTAATTGTAAGCTTACGTGATACCTTTACTTTTAGCGGCCATGGAGGCGGAAGCTTCCACAAGCTCAGAGTTCCCGTTGGAGGATTTCGTTGACCTCCCCTGGCACCTTCAGAAGGCTATAGTATCGGAGCTGTCTGCCTCCGATCTAATCCATTTTTCCCGAGCCCACCCTCATTTTGAGCAGCTTGTAAATGACCGCCATAAGTGCTGGGACCACATCAACCTCGATGGAGATTTGCGTGTTGAGAGGACTTTGCCGTCTGGCCGCATCCAACGGCGACTATGGGAGTATCAGAGCGGGGAGTAAGTCGTGTTAATGGGAACTATAAAGACGAACATGATCCGGCCTGCTCTAATCAATAGATTCGAGTTTAGTTTTCATCCACTGCGGCAGCGTGACATCACGAAGCGCCAGACAACGCCAACGATGACTGTCGTTTTCTGCAAGGGCAACGAGACAGCACGCGATGAGGATGCGGCCGTGGTGCTCCGGAATGCCACAGTTAAACAGGTATAGTTTTCTCAACTAAATTTTCAAAACAGAAAAGGTAGTTAAAGCATAAATTCCTGCTCTAAGCCCAATCTACCAAAAAAAAAATTCCATTTAGTTGAACTTCCTTCGGGATACCCACTTGGCCCCAGGGCTACGCGTTGGCTTCCTCCATCGACCGGGTTTCGACACAATCGACGAGCTACAATCAGTAATTGGTAGGCGCGGAACCTCAATACCCAAACACTGCCCAAATTTAGGCAAACTAAAGTGCACCGGTCTGGGCATTTATTCACTCACGTTGCAAGGCAGCACCACCGACGCGGCATTGATCGACTTCTTCCTCAGGAACCCGGTAGAGAAATATTTTAAGTGTGAAAACACGATTTTTTTTTTCTTTAGCAACTGACAACCATTTCCTATGACGTAGCCGGTCAAAGTTATTTGCATCTTCTTTCTCAACTCTATCAACCGAAGCAATGGCTGAAGATCCATGGGCATACAAATGGCGTTCATGACGTCCTGTTCTCGATTACTGACACCATCATTCGGGTAGGTTGCCTTTGCTTTTTTTTGGATACGAACAGCGGCTCGGTGCTGTAGAAGGACCAAATCAACCGTATTTATAGCAATGGGAGGCTAAGGAAAGAGAAATTGATGCGTGGATGGTGTGTCTCGCTAATGGAAGTGAATGGGGAGACGACGAGTTCGAGAATGTGCTAAACTTTGGTAGGTGCTTTTTTGGTAGTTGAGCTTTAACCTTCGCCTAAAAAATCCTGCTTTGACAAACACTTATTCTAGAACTCAACGAAATGGCTCGTCGCCTCTCGTACGGCAGCTTGGGCTGCTTCGAGAAACGCGACGACATCGATCCCCGTTTCCGCTTGATCCGGCGAGAAGATGTAGGCCATTTTACCAATGCCTTAAAACCATTTCTAGGGCACTGGCCTCCTGATCATGACCGGGGGACTGTCGATTATTCTGATCTCATGTGACTATCAGCTTCGACGGTAAGCCTTCGGTCGGTCGCGCTAAATTCGCATGACAATTTTCAGCGCTCGCGGACTAGGTAACGGCAGCAAGATTCGAGAATTTTACAACGCCTTGTCTACCCTAATGTACCCGTTGCGCGCAGCCGAGACTCAAATCTGGCAATTGGAGAAGTTTGGACGACCGCCGAAGAAGCCAGAGGCCAAGGAGGTTGTCGATCAGGTATGAATCCTACACCTTCCACGAGATACCTTTCGGATTTCAGGATGTCTTTGCAATTTTTGGTGACCTGGAAGTGGGGAGGGAGGTCGATGCGGAAGAGGTGAGTAAGGCTTAAAACAAGAGGAAGTATCCTTTTATCAAATCTGGCGCTTATAGGTGGTCTTCAAAGAAGCGCAGGACAAAAATAAATTGCGTTTCTAGACTGAGGAGCAGCCAGAAGTGCCAGAACGAGATCTAAAAATGGAGGCTCTGCTTGTGGATCGCCAGAAGGCCAGGGACGCAGTAGAGACTGCGATCCGCGAGCACCTTGCTGAATTTGGCAAGCTCTCCGACCGAGAACTGGCCATCGACACGGTAGGTCAAATTATTTTTGCTGTATAATAATAATCAATTTCAGCTTTTCTTGGGCGGTGATGAGGTTCCGCAGATTAATCGCTACCTGCTCGATCATCTTTTTAATAATGGATTCGAGCCTGAGGGGTACCCGGTTAGTTTTAAAACTACATAGATCCGACAGAGGTGACAAAGCTTGAATTGAGCTCTAAGTTAACGAAAAAGAATCATTAAAACTGACTGACGACAAAGCCTTTGAAAGTCTTAATAATCTCGATAAATTTAGAGCAAGTATTACTTTGCCGAGTGGCACATGCGGATCGGACACGAGCTCGTCGGCTACTACAAAAAGCACGGCGTCATTCCTAACTATTTTTGCTAAATAATCGTTAACATTTTTTATTCTACGCTATAACTTGCCTTTTGTCTGTACAAAGCCGTAAGATTCACCTTATTTTTGTGCATCCAATGCTTTGTGGGTAGATTTATTGTAATATTAATAAAAAAATTACGGGTAAAACATGTCACAATCTAAACTAAAATCAATTTCCAAGCTATATAATTATTGACAGCAATACAAGTATAAAATAAAACAACTAAATCTATTTGGAGTTTAGTTTTTTGTAAACAAAAACAAAAACAAACATCGATGCAGAAACGCAGGCCGTTTCGGGGCAACTTTTTCCACTGAAAAGGAGGTCTTTTTGGAGGTCGAACTTGTCTCTGTGCTCTGTCCTTCCGGGTTTTGAGCAAGAGAAGCGTGAGAGAGGGCCCCAGAGTCGCCGCCTAGCAGTAAAAAACATCCGCTTCCCGGAAAAACTAGCAGGTTTCTTTCTTTCTTTGCCGCTTTTGTGCTTCGTCTTTTTTAAATAAGTAGTATCTTGTTAATTCAAATAAGTCTGCTTTTTTAACAAACCACAAATGAATTGCACAAAAACCCCCAATGACTTTTTGAAAGTTTTGAAGCTCGAGCCGTCTCTAGAAATAATTTTGGCTGAAGAATTGTTTTTTCGAACGAATAAATGATGTCTAAATAATTTAATATTGAGCTGCAAGTAAAAATAATCTTTTTTGCGGCAAAAGTACAAAGGAACGTTTCACAATTCTAGGCTACGCAAGGCTCCGGCGCGCGCCTTTTTTAGCCTTTAGAATTTCGCTTTTGGTTTTTTTATTCTTTTTTGAAATTCGATCGATCATTGAAATATACTTATCTTTCAGCCTTCCACAATGGCCGCCAGCGAGGCTTCAGCCTCCAATGTCTTTTCGCTGGACAACTTCATGCGCCTTCCCATCGAGGCTCAAGATCTCATCTTGTCGCAGCTGTCCGAGGCACCCTCCAATATTCTCAGCTGCTCGAATGCCGACCCAAATCTGGAGCAAATCATTCGAAACCATCTAAAACATTGGGATGTGGTGGACTTTGAAATGGTGAATGGGCTTCGGATTGCGGCAGCTAAACAACCTGGTTGCTCGCGCTCGTGCAAGTGGAGTCATGGCTTTGAGAGGTGAGTCTTTTATTTTTTAATAGTATTATTAATAATTTGCGTTTTAATGGGACAAGATCCCGCTGAAAAAGTCCTTGTTTCACAATTTCAAGTGTGTAGTTTTTTTGCAAAAATATCGGCGTTTTAGCACTGAGGAACGAGATAAAGCTGCTGCTGTCTTTCTCCAAAACTCTCGCGTCAAGAAGGTATTCGCAGTCTATTTTCCAAGATTAATAAAGACTTTAGCTGAAATATGCTAGCCGCAGTCATTTTTTCGACGGATTCCACGCTGATTACCTTGTCGATCCAAAAGTCGACTCGGTCACGCAACTGCAAGAATTCGCAGGTATGCAGACTTTCGCCCAAAGTGAGGAGGAGAGAGAATGACAGAGAGAGCGAGAGAGAGAGAGAGAAAGAGAGAGAGAGAGAGAGAGAGAGAGAGAGAGAGAGAGAGAGAGAGGAGAAGGTTAGTGTAGCCTTTCGTTTAGACAAGCTAAAATGCACGGGCCTCAGTCTACACAACATCGACGATACCTTGGCTGAAAAGTCAGCCTTGCTCGAATTCTTCATCCAAAACCCGGTACTTAATTTACCGGAGCAAGAAAACATAACGTTTTTTTTAGAAAATCACAACTGCCAATCTCTTCATAATCGGTGAAGAGCATCTTCAGCTTTTGACCTCAATGACGCAGCCGCGGATGAAGCTGCAAATCCGCGGCGATCGGTATCCGGAAGCTATTTTTGACAAGCTCTTCACGATCGCTAATACCGTCATTCAGGTAGCTACCGTAGGCCAATGATCTATGAAAAGCCTTTCAGCAATGGCAAAACAACCAGCGGGAGATTGATGCGTGGATGGTTTGCCTGGAGACGGGCGATGTACTGTTGAATGATGATCGGAATCAAGGTAACCTGGATAGCTCATTTAGATCTTTCATGATATTTTAGCACTACATAAATTCGCACAAAAACTTGCTGACGGTCGGCCGGGTAACTTCGAGCAGGACAACATCGACCCCCGATTTCAGCTGATCCGGCGAAAAGAAGTGGGTTAAAAGATTAAAAGAAAGCGAAAATGTATATTTACAAGAAAATTATTATAGTTGATTATCTAAAAAATTTCTATATGTATGGGTTTATGTTATGTTTAGGGCTCCGGCTTGCTAATTCTGACTGGAGGGTTGTCGATGATCCTGATCTCCTGTGACTACCAGCTACGACGGTAAGGAGAGTCCTTGCATTAATCATGTAATTTCTACTTTAGACTATGCCCTGATAGGCTCCTCTTTGGTAAAAAACTTTCTTTAATAGTATTAAATAAAATAATATCTTTTATTACCAGCTCCCGCGGACTTGGTCAAGGCACTCAGGTTCAGCTCTACCACTACGAGATGCACCTGCCTATGGAACGACTTTACGAGGCCGAGTCGAAATTATGGAAATTTGAAAAGGCCAAGAAGGTATCCTCCTTCAATTTCATATTTCATTAAAATACACAAAAACTGCGTAAATTACAATTTTCTTAGAGCAGCCCAGAAAATGATGAAGCCGCTTCAAAGTCTGCGGGGGAAAGCCTTCGAGCAGATCTCCAAAAAGCGCAGAATAAAGTCGAAGAATTAGTCCGGGACTACGTTAATGCGTTTGGCAAGGTGCCAGAGCGAGAGCTGGCCATCGATATGGTAACAACACATTTTTTATTGCATTAAAACCCTCTTTTTAGCTCTATCTCACTGAAGAATACGAAGAATTTGACGAGGCGCCAAATCTCAACATTGGTCTGTTCGCCGAGCTCTTCGATCGTGGATTCGAGCCGGAAGGTTATCCGGTAAGCCGTTTTACACAGCTCGTAAAATTCAAATTAATTCAATTTCACCCAACAAACCATTACAATTCCAGAGTTACTACGAGGTCTCCTGGTGGCACCTAGGCAGTACGCGCGACTTCGCTAATCATTACAAAAATCACGGAACAATCCCAAATTATTATTTTTGAGCTCTTTTTGTTTGTTCGGCCACTTGGTCCTGATGCTCATTTTGATGTTTATATCTATCAGTTGTTATTTCTCCGTTCAATAAAGTTGAGAGTTCACGGAACGCCAAATGCCTTTTTAAAATCCATACAAAAAATACATAGAATATACGGTTTCAAAATTGTTGTAATTTTTGTACGGCTTGTCGGTAAGATTACGAGTATCAGCGTAGGTGTCCTATCATTAATGCGTAAAAACATATGCCCAAAAAGTGCGGCAAAGTGGGTGTCGGCCTATCAAGGACGCAGATGTGCAAATTCGTAGGGGCCAGGCGGTTGCGAAGAAGAACGCTAGCTCATTTTTCCACTTGGTCGGTGATTAGCAGTAGAATATCTACCTTTTCCGCTTCCATTTAGTCTGACCAAATAATCATGTCAATTTCCAGATATCTGACATGGCTCCAAGCCACCCAAGAAATTGCTTGGAGCCCCACCACATGGTACGTCTCCCAACCCAAGGCCACTCCTCCGTCTTCTCGAAATTGTCCCCATCCGACGTGCTTAACTTCTTCCGAGTCCATCCAGCTTTTGCCGAGATTGCACGGGGTTGCCATAAGAGGTGGCACCATGTCAGTCTTGGAAAAGACGCTCTCCTGGTGGAAAAGTTGGGCCGAGACGGTCGGGTGCAGCGCCATTTATGGAACTATTCGATGGAGGAGAGGTGAGATGGGGAGAAAGGATTGTAGCATTTTGTTGCTTCAGCCAGGTGCTCGACGACGAGCTCCCCTTCGTATTTCATACACTAACAAAGGCCGAACTTCGGAAAATAAATTCTACTCCGTCGGTATCGTTTTTGACGGAGAAGGATGAAGGACAAAGGGATGAGGATGCTTTGATATTTCTGCGGAATGCATCCGTAGCAAGAGTAAGTGTTCATATAGCTCTCTCTCTCTCTCTCTCTCTCTCTCTCTCTCTCGATCAAACAATCCCAAATTTTAGCTCGATGGGGCCACCGAGGATCACCTTAACATCGGGCTGAAAGTCTCATTTCTCCACTACCCAAAATGCACCTCCATCTCACTGCTGCAAACATTTTCCGGTAAACCCCTATTAAATTTTCAGACACGCTCTACCAGTTTCGATCCCTTGTATGTATTTGACTTTTTCAGAAAACCTCAACATCACCGCGCTGACACTCGGTCACGAAGAAGCATGTACCATCCATTCCAATGCACAGCTTTTCGAATTTTTTCTTAGGAACAAGGTATGATTGAGAAAACGGAAGGACAGAATCGTGTCTAGAAAATCACTACCGCAAACTTCTCGGTATTCGGGAGTGAAGGTTTTGGCAAAGCGTCAGAATTACGGCTGCCCAAGCAGTGGATGAAGATTTACGATCATGGTGAGGGGATTGAGGACGAGGTCTATACCGTTGTTGAGGAAGTAATTCAGGTATGTTTTAAAAAGGTCACCGTAAGTAACTAAGCTTTTTCCAGCAATGGGAATGCAATGAGCGAGATGTCAATGCCTGGATGTTATGCCTTGAGACTTCTGAGAGGAATGAATTCCTCTATGAAGGTGAGTAGCTTAAATAGATGGAATTAAGAAAGATTATGTTATTTTAGCGATATATGGCATGGCTTCCCGTTTGGCTGCGGATAGGTCCGGAAGCTTTCGGCGGGAGGTACCGGCGTGCATTCAACTTATCGAAAGGAAAGACGTACGTCCTTCTTTGCTCGCTAATATACCTCGGCTTTAGGGTTCTGGATTACTCATCTTAACGGCCGGACCATCGGTATTATTGATTTCTTGCCACTACGAATATCGTAGGTACGTCTTTTACTAGGGGTAACCCCCTTGATACAAGTTGCATTAAGCGATACATTTCAGAAAACGAGGCCTTGGATTCGGGAGCCTGGTCCAGGCACACCATAGAAGGCTGATACGCTCTGGCGTGCAGCAGCTAGAGAAGGTAGAAGCGGATATTTGGCGCTTCGCCCGCTTCGGACTGCAGCCGGAAATCAATGACGACACCGTTGAGGTAGACCAGAAGTACAAATGCAGTTAGATTTTGCTTAGGAAATCACAAAGGGCTTGTATGACTTCAGCTTGGACGACCGCGACATAGCAAACGTCAGCAACGTGAATTCTCCAAAAATACCGATATTCTTTTAGGTCATTCGCTCTCAGTTGGAGCGCCTACACGACCTGCTAGAAGGCGCCAGATCAAACGTGGAATCACGACTGAGATGCTATATGGCAAATTTTAGCAATGTGCCAAAACGCGAGCTGATCATTGACACGGTGAGTAATCTTCTGCTATTTTGTTACCTGACAGTTTTCTCGTAGGGATTTTAATCCAATTAAACATATTTAGCTTTTCCTCGGCTCCGGTGCAGCTTCACACGTCAACCACGCGCTTCTCGACCACCTCTACCGTAACGGTTTTGAGCCAAGCGGCTTTCCGGTATGTTTTTAATTAATTACGGTTATCACATTTTTTTTGTGAACACTATTTTGATCCCTTTAAAGAAATTAAAACCTTTTTACAGGATGCACACTACAAGAAGGACGAGCAGCACAAAGTACTCCACGAATACATTGACTACTACAAAAAGCACGGGTCTATCACGAGTTATTACTGCTAACAGTCTTTATTGAATAAAAGTATTTTTCTACAATTTCGCGAAAATTTATGAAAATTTCGCGAACCCCACGAGGCTAAAAACTAGCAAAAAACCGGGGTTACCAGGCAACGCTTCCGCTCGTGAATGATTTGTACTCGCCGGTTCACAACGCGCCCTGAAAAGGAAGTAGGAATTCCGGTGCATTCTTGCTGATGTCGTCACGTAGAGCATCTCCTTCAAAATGATTCATTCGAACGTTTCCTTTCTTAGAAAAAGGACGAGAAAGACCGAGAGACTAACATCATTTTCCGAGTAGCCGGCCTTGGAACCTGTTTCGGAATGGGGTTGCGCTCTTTGGATTTGGTGATTGCTTCCCGTTTTTTGGCGGTCGCCGAACGGACGAGTTGGAGCATTGTTTGATTGCTCTCCTTTTACCATCTTACCTGAAGGTTCGATTGCTCAATTTTGCGAAAGTATTACAAGTGGTTTTTTTTTTACGTCTTCCGGTTCTTCACAACGTCGTAACTAGCGCCAATATCCATTTTTCTTTCTTGATAAAATTTGTAAAACAATTTTTTTCTATTGAGACTTTTCGAAGTTATTTTTTCTTTTAATACGTGCAGCTCTATTTTCTATTTTCAGGCTCAGCCATGGACCTACAAGCTTCTACAAGCCTTGATAAATTCCAGATAGAAGACTTCCTATCCATACCCTGGCACCTCCAAAAAGTCATCATCTCTGAGCTGTCACCTTCTGACCTCTTAAATTTTGGTCGTGCCCGCCCGGACTTGTTACAATTAGCTCTGCACCATCAAAAACACTGGGAGATCGTGGAAAATGGCGATGAACGTTTGGTTGTTGAGAAAAGGTCGAGGGCGGGCCGTATGCAGCGGAGGATATGGGATTATCTTGGAAATTGGTAAGTGAAAAGCCAAATTGAAAATTGTCTATCAGGTAGATTGTCATATTAGAAACGTTCTAGCGTCAAACCATGTTTTCTTTTTCTTCAGCTATCACCCGATGAGAATGGAAGAGATCAGAAGGAAACAATCAACCCCCACCTACACTGTGCTATTTGTTGAAAATTGCAAAAAGCAGCAGGAAGACGATCTCGATATCCTGATACGAAATTCTAAAGTTAAAAGGGTAGCTTAACCCTGTTTTGCTAAAATCTTATTAATTTTTAGATGGATTACGCCACGCTGAAACACCTCAATATAGGACTGCAAGTCGATTACCTCTATCAACCTGATTTCGCCTCAATAGAACAGCTCCAGGAACTTGCTGGTGGCTCTTGGCTTTATTTTTGGACATCAATTTTTTTTCAGACAGGCTGAAAATCGTAGGCCTTGATGTTCAGGCTACAAAAGTCGAGGCGCTTGGCAAAAATGGCGAATTTTTCCGTTTTTTCATTGACAACCCGGTAAGTAAGAGTGCATGAAAAGTTTTGAAAAGCGCTTTTAGAAAATCACGACCGCCAATCTCTACGTATTCGGCCAAAGCCATCTGCATCTTATACCGAAAATGCAGCAAACGAGGCAATGGATGAGAATTTGCGAGCACACGAGCGGCATCCACGAAATATTATTTTCGGTTGTCGAGGAAATCGTTCAGGTTCAGTTCTACATCTAAACCCAAAAAAATATAGTCGAAAATTCGGCTAACCGGCGCGAATGACTACATAATTGGCAAAATAACTTTGAGACCATGCAAAAAGCCTACGACACTCGGGATTCCCAAGCCGTCTCCGATCCAAGTACTAACCGAGCCCAACGTTGCTTAACTTGGCAGATCGGACGGGATGCCGTGCTTTCAACGTGGTATGGTCGTAGGCGAAGGGCGCTAGGGAGAACCGGGCTAAAAGCGACTGGGCGGGGAGACTGCCGAGAGAAGCGAGTGCGCAGACAGCGTGCCGGTCACAGCAGAAACGCCCGAGCCAAAATAGTTCTTGGGTATTAAAAGTTTGAATATCGAGAATAGCTTAATAAGCTTTCGTTCACCTGATAATATGGCGCATTCTAGCAATGGGAAGCGAACGAGCGCGAGATTGATGCATGGATGGTGAGCCTAGAAACTCGGGACGACCTTGGCGATGACGCCTTCGAGAATATTCTCAACTTTGGTAAAATCAACTGTTGATTATATTTGGTACCTCATTTCAGAGCTCAATGACATGGCGCGGAAGCTGGCGTACGGTAGTTTGGGCAATTTTAACGATCGTGCGATCGACGAGAGGTTTCGGTTGATCCGGCGTAAAGATGTCGGCTTACATTAGATCTGTTGCTCGCTAATCTACTACTCTTTTAGGGCACCGGTCTCCTCATTATGACGGGAGCATCGTCGATCTCACTTTTTTCGTGTGACTACCAGTATCGGAGGTTAGTAACTTTCAAATGCCTGGACTTGAAGTCCATTTTTCAGGCTTCGCGGCCTCGGCTTCGGAAAACAAATTCGAGCCTTTTTCGACGAGTTGTGCGCCCAGATCTACGAGCTTCATTTTACGGAGGCTCAACTCTGGCAAGCCGGACAATTCGGGGCGCTGCGACGCAAGCCGCCGCCCGCACAAGAGATCATCGATCAGGTAGCTTGAAGAGAAAAGCTAAATTCTACGAAAGTTATACGAATCGTTTTAGGACGTCTTCTCAATCTTTGGTGAGCTGGAACCAGGTGCAAAGGCTGATGAAAAACATCAAAAGGTACGGGAATATGTGAAAAGTCGAATTCTTTATTGCGAGACCATCCGCGTACCATTTATCTAGGTGTTTTTCAAGGGATCCGTAGAGGTAGAAGATCACGGGAGGGTCTGTCAGGATCAGGAAATGATGGACAGAAGGGCTGTAGCGCTTCAACAGATCGAAGAGTTGCTGAAAAAGCATACAGCCGAACTCGGACAAGTACCCGAACGCGAATTGGCTATCGACACGGTGAGTGGGTGAACGGATTCTTATTTGCGTTGCCTTTTTCACGGTAATAGCCATATATACTTGATCGATGTTTATCACATCGTTTAAAGCATTTTCAGCTCTACCTTGGTGGCGCTGCGGAGCCAGACCTGAACCGACGACTTCTGAATAACATTTTCTACGAAGGTTTCGAGCCGAGTGGTTTTCCGGTCCGTTTTTTTTGGATGATGATGTTGCTATTCTTGATGTTTTAGAGTCATTACTACTTTGCTGATTGGCAGACGAAGATGGCGTACGAATTCTTCCAATTTTACAAAAAGCATGGGGAAGTGCCGAAGTACTATTGGTAGATTTGTGACCAGTTTTTGCATGTGATTTCCATGACCTCGTAATACTCAACGGGTTTTTTCTACCAAACAGCGATGGTCTATTTAGGTCTGTTGAATAAATTTATATAAAAAGGTATACTTTATTACATCCATTTTATTCACTTATGCACATCACAATCGAGGGGCGGCTTCACCGGCCGGTCTGGCACTTCTTCGGGGAGGGAATCCTTTAAAAAAGGTTTCATAAAGCTTAAAAACACTTACAGTTTCCCTAGATATTGACAAGCTGGGTGGGGAGGATTTGTGAATTGTTGATTGTTCAGAGGCTGGAAATTAGGGGGAAATTTTAGAAAATACAAATCCTACCAAACTGTGAGCTTTTCGAGTCTCTTCTTCGAATGTCCTCCTCGGAGATGACGGGTAGGTGGCTTTCATCTACCGTCCAGGTACTTGGTGTCTGAAATTTTGGTTGCCATCGAGGTAAATCTATTGAGCGCCTCTCTCGCTCCCTCTCTTTCTCTTCTTTCTCTCTCTCTCGCTCTCTCTCTCTCTCTCTCTCTCTCTCTCACGTTGAACGCTACAAAGACAAAATTCGGTCTAAAAACTTACCTTCCCCTTTTCGTCACAATCTGAACTGTTCGGATATGTGGTCCCGCAATCATGAACATTTAATGACGACGCAAACGAAGAGTTCCTTTATAAGAAAAATTCGGTTGCATTTTTAATAGAGGTACCTGCTCGGCGGTGACCTGTGAAAATCACTGGCAAACATCGAGCTCATCGAACGCTTTTTCCGAGCGCTAGTGGGGGTTGAACCGCTGGAAGCTACAGAATCTCGTGCTTTTAAGGTATAGATCGATACCTCTACGTTTCTGCTGGTGGCCGATAAAGGCGCCGGACTGGCGCCTGAGTCGACCCAAAGCACCGAGCTTCTTCTCGGCGAGTTTGTTCAGGAAGTCTGTTGAGCCGTTGACACTAAAGCTTATCTGCTACACCACGAGTTTTGGGTTCCGGTTTAGGTAGGATTCAGCGTAGGTTTAGGCTTAGGTTACTTTGGGCCGTAAGAGCGTACTTCAATTCCCTTCCCAGCCGGCCACAACTTTTGGTATTTCCACTCCCCCGCGTTCCTGGAGACTGGCAAGGTATATAAAAATGCTCGTCTTGACCTGACGAGTATTTTGATCTACATTACAGCCCTATATCACACGGGCGAGCAGAGTTACATCCGATTAAGCTACGACCGATACCTCTCTTTTGGTTTCAGCTTCTCCACCGGCACCACATCATCCCCTTCCAGCTCGTCCCACATCATCTTTGCCTCATTTTCATGGATTCGGATGTGTGGGCGCACCATGTACTCGTCGTCCTCCGTCGCCCTGCCATAGGAAGATAACGTTAACTCGGACAAGGGATGCAACCAAAACGGCTAGGTCACTCACATAAACTTGCAGCTCCCCTGCTGTGGATTCGGGGCCCTGGCGGCACTCTCGGCTGTGTAGAGGGGTTCCGGATGTGAGGTTTCCCACCTAAAAATAGTAGATGCAATTTAATAGTAACAATAATAGCAATAAATATGTTTGTTATACATACCAAGGATCCCTCGCCTCAGGTGGGAATTTCCCGTACGCATCGTCAACTACCGAGAAGGCCACCTGAAGGTTTCGATCCAAAATCCAGTTACATTCGAAATCATCGTCGTCCTCGCCGAGTGGATTTAAGAGGACTTCTGCTACCTAAAACATTTAGTACTTGACGAAGTCGTCGGCAAGAGCCTCAAAAGGCTCGTGCTCACCTTCATCCACCCAACAAAACATACAAATTGCAGAATTGTCATTATCGGGATGTAGATGTCTATCTGTGCCGTGAATAAAGTTTCGAGATCAAAGTAACCCTACAGTTTTTGGCATCGCTGTAATATCCTGGCGAGTCGATAGGTCGAGGTATTGACGGCTGAACAGCGCAAGGAAGAAGTAGGTTCTGATGGCGATGTGGATCACCTAACATCAAAATTCTTACCCAGAAAAGAAACATCGATACCTGGGTATAGACCAAAGGAACAGGTACCCAATCATACATCGTTAGGTTCATTACATTGACACGAAATTGGCGTAGTTTCTAGGTACCAGAAAAGTTAAGTTTTCCGGCCGTACAAGTATTACCTCGAGTAGATCTATCAGCAAAATATCGGAAGATATTAGCCCCTCTTCGCGTGATGTTCGACATAGGCAAAAAGCCCAGTGCATCGGTTGCCAATACCTTTAAGGGTTTTAAAAGGTATGCTTTAGGATCATACTTAGCATGTGGTGATGGTACATCATTAAAGACCATTAATTCATTCTCAGTCATTAGGCCTACAGATATAGAAATTTCCAGATAGTCCACGATTACCTGCCGTAACCAAATGTTGCATCGTTGGAAATCGTTTCTTGACCGATGCTGATATGTCACGAAATACCAGAGCTTGGGTAAGCACCAGATACCTTAAATGGATTGCTAAACCATAGCATCTAAATAACGCGACTTAACAAGACTTACTTCAGCTTCACTTAATGCTAGCTTACCTCATGATATTTCTCCTTACAACCCTCGCCCGCTCATCGGCACCACGAATCAGACACGAGATCAATAACATAGGGCTTAAAATTTTATACATAACTTTACACTCCTTGTCATACCTATCAACCCATCCCACATTCATGAAAACATCCCACCAACGCGTGAATACTGTCGATACATAGAATCCGAGCATGAACGTTATTGGGATATAGTCGGAGTAGGCGTAGAAGAATACACATAAATCTTCAAATATACTAGAAAGTATGATTTTCATATCATAGAGAAATACAGACATTCTCTGGTGCCCGGTCAGCACCTGCCGATAGGTCATCGACATCATGGTGTACACGGCCAGCCAGGCCAACAGCTCGGTCCACACGCTTTTCCAGACTAAAGAGATAGGTAAGGAAAGGTAATGATGCTGCTAATAACGTTTTTATGCAGGCCTAGGCATTTTGTTTTTAGCATAAAGAATGGTAGACGTTTTAATGCAAGCTCGAGCCAAAGCCACTTAGCGAATTTTCGGACCTAAGCTTTTCGACAGAATACTCGGGTCTACCAATCTTCGGCAATTCAGAAAAGATAAGTCTTCAAATCCAAACTGACGTATTGAAACGGTACCGAAAGGAGATATTGATAATTTTTGATACCTTCCTATACCTCAAATAAGTATAAGGCCGAATACCCTGCCGCCTTACATCGTGAAAACCCGCTTTTACGTAAAATCTTGGAAACTATCCAAACCTTACCAGACCCCCTCCACCTGAATAACAATTTGTACAGACAGAAAAATGACGATGTTGAGACGTCCAGCGAATACGTAACGGTCATCTCCTCAACCGAAACAAATATTTTTAGCCCCAACTCGATGGCCGCCCGCGTGCTATCGGCCAACTGTTAGGGGAGGAAAAAGCATGCGGAAGATGTAGCGATCGCCCTGTTCGAACGGATTTGAATATCAATGCCATACACACGACCCCCTCGACCCCCAGCCCGGCGCCTTTCCCGTTTTTCCGCAACACCCGGCGACCCTTTTTGTGAGTGCAGCGGGATTCGGGGTGGTGCGTGTGGACTCGAGTGTCGTCCACGTCATACTTGAGGATTAGGTATTTAGGTGTGACTAGGTGTGTGGATTTTGGGGGATCTGACTCATAAACTGGGCGATTTTTACGTTGTACCTAGGAAAAATCGAACGATCTCCGGTTTAAGCTGAAAGAGAGGAAGGTTTGATAAATCGAGCTGTCGTCTGGGTTTAGGTAGAAGCTTACAAAGTTCGCAGGATATCATGCAATCCGCAATAAAAAGCACCAAAAAAGCAGCAAAAAGCCTACGACACTCGGGATTCCCAAGCCGTCTCCGATCCAAGTACTAACCGAGCCCAACGTTGCTTAACTTGGCAGATCGGACGGGATGCCGTGCTTTCAACGTGGTATGGTCGTAGGCGGAGGGAGGGAGGGTAGGGCAGTAGATGAGAAATAAAAAGTATAAAAAAAGGCCGCGTTTGGTACTGCGTGACGATTTGAGTGGTCCCACGAGCTAAAAAGGCCCTTCCCTAATCCTCCCCTCGCCTACGACCATACCACGTTGAAAGCACGGCATCCCGTCCGATCTGCCAAGTTAAGCAACGTTGGGATCGGTTAGTACTTGGATCGGAGACGGCTTGGGAATCCCGAGTGTCGTAGGCTTTTGCAGGGTTTCAATGTTATTTTGCCCATTACGATGTCATTCACGCCTTGAGACGAATTTTCAGCCATTTTTTGTGTTTGGATTTGGCCGAATACATACCGATTGACGGTATGGTTTGCTTAAACCGCTTTTCTGAAGTTTTGATGTATTTCGCCTTACAGGTATAAATTTTTCCTCAAGCTACCGTACCCATCGATCACGAGAACAGCAATTAGCCCTCTCCCCACAGACAACCCCCTACCGGGGATTTCCGCCCGATTATGGACCGCCAATATCCAAGGCATGGGCGCCAAAAAAAGGCCTCGAGGATCAGCCGTCTCCCTGGGTATCACCCGGTTTCACGCCTTCCCCCTTCTCCATGTCAAGTTTTCGCCCATTTTCATTCCGGCCGCGCGATCCATCCGCGCTCGTCCCGTTATCTTTCACGGCTAGGCCGCCGTTCTTTATTCGCCACCGCACACCCCAGGGCACGCGCTTTCCCGGCCACATCTACTTTTTGAGGAGGGGGAGGGGGCTAGAATGTGCCCCGTGCGGTTACCGTAGTAATGGGATATTGGCTGGGTTGCAGTCCCGGGGCCTGTCGAACGGCTACTCTGCCCAGTTTTATACCTTGGAATCCCATTCACGCGTCGGCTTTTTAAAGGGATGTGCAAGGTGCGCTTAGGCAGCTGATTCCTTACAAATCCATAGGCGTTCGCCGCTCAGGCGAAACGTAACGCGCCTGAATTTTCATTTCCTGAATGGATTAAGGCACCTTAACCTATAGCGGGTGCCTCAAAAAAAGTACCTCGGCTAGCGGTCCGAAGAATGCTCGGCTTGTGGTGATTTTTAATATTTACTTTTCGTAAGTCTTGACGAGTTTTACGTTACTTTCCTGTTGCAACGACATTATTGGCACAACCCGGTCATCCCAAAATGAAAAAGCTTACTTTAAAAACGTCAAAAAGCCTACGACACTCGGGATTCCCAAGCCGTCTCCGATCCAAGTACTAACCGAGCCCAACGTTGCTTAACTTGGCAGATCGGACGGGATGCCGTGCTTTCAACGTGGTATGGTCGTAAGCGCAAGGAGGGACAAGGAAAGGCGTTTTGAAACGGCATCGTAGTGTTTCATTTATGCTTCTAACAGCTTCGGAGGCCCTCCCGTCGCCTACGACCATACCACGTTGAAAGCACGGCATCCCGTCCGATCTGCCAAGTTAAGCAACGTTGGGCTCGGTTAGTACTTGGATCGGAGACGGCTTGGGAACCCCGGGTGTCGTAGGCTTTTTGATTGTTTTGCAAATGAACCTTACGATTTGTCCCAATTTTAGCGTTTTATGCAATTTTTGTATTTTTCAATACACTCTTTATCACGTCCTCTCCCCCTACCACCACCACCACGAAACCCTGCCACCGTTCTGTGCTTCATTCCTTCGTTGAGCTATGACTACGCGGTGTGTGTCGTGTGCCGGCGCGCGTTCTGAATGTTTATGGGCGTGGGGCGTAGCGGTAAGCGAAAAGGGGGCGAGTGGGGGGCAGCAGCAAGACGGGATTGTCGCATAAACGGCTATGCCTCTCGCAGAAGCCATTCCCCGCATCTTTTCTGCTCTCCCCACAGATAGCCGCACAGCGCTTAACCAATTTTTCAGGTAGGGTTGGGTGGATGGCATAGATAGGGGGGAGGCTCGTTGTAAATATCGGACTTATTTTCTGTGGCTTCTAGGGGTTTGGGGATTTTTGGGTGTGGCTGCGGGATGTTTGAGAGATCATTTTTTAAAGGGACGGGCAAGGGAGGCAATAGATTTTTATTTTACCACGACGCGCAACGCGCGAGCTTGCACTTGCATTGCGTAATCGATTACGCTTAAGTCACGTGCGCAGATTCGCACTGGATTATAAAAAGGTCGCGGCACGCAACGCCGGCCGCTTAACAAACAAAATTCATTACGCAATTCAATTATAAGCCCAAGCGTTGCGAGTCGCGTCGCGCTCAAAAAGTGAAAATCTGTAAGTATGCCTTGTCGATCCCTTTAAAACGAGGCTGCCGTTTCTTTAGTGCTTCGAACTTGGCCGGTTCCGAAAAATTAGCATGACGTTTCTGCTAGCTTGCCTTGTTTAAAGGAGCCTACAAGGCATGATGGCGGGCCGCGAAACGCAACGCGTGGGCATGTTTTCGTCGCGGCGTCCAAGCGGTGTGGACTGCGTGGCGTGTCGCAGATGGGAAAAATCCATAGGGCAAGCATGCCTTATGGGTCCCTTTAACCAACTTTTTGTTGTGGTTAAAAGAGTTTTTCATCAGGTCAAGAAGATCGCAGACTCGTTAGACAGTTTTTCTCATTGTTTTGATGCGATTCACGATTCTCTCTTTCTCTCTCTCTCTCTCTCGCTCTCTCTCTCGCTCTCTCTCTCTCCCTATAATCGGCCACCGTCCAACTCATGATCATTCAATTTCCTCTCCCCTACTCATGCTCCACCAAACGTTTTTACAGCCCCCACGGTCAATCAAGCGACCGCCAACCAAACCTCGATACAGTATTACAACCCACTTGACCTCGATTTTTTTTCCTTCCTCCTCCTAATCAGGAACTGCCAATCACCCTTCCCCGCCCCTTCTCTTTGTTGCGAGATCGAGCTTGAGGGGTATAGGGGTTCGGGGGCATACGCTTCACTTAATAAACGAATTAACAGCAAAAAGCTAGCCTCGTCTCTCTCGTGGCTTCTCGTGCTCCTCGCAAAGGCGAGCCGCCACCCGGGCGCCATGCCAAAAAAGTTGTGCAGCGGCTGGGGTGTTCGCTGGGGGTTCGGGTCGACTCGTCGAGAGGAAAGGAACGGATTTTCGGATTTTTTTTTTGCTCCTTTTAAATGTGGACTTATGCCCGATATCTTTTTTACCTCTATACCCGACATTTTACCTTATAAAATTTTCGACAATTTTTTTCGGTTTTGTACTTCGGATTTTTTGCATTTTTATGGCTTCCTCGGGCCGTTAGAACCAACAAAAACCATGTCGAATTTTAATTGTCAGTGCAATTTTTAATTTAGCTACGCCCGCGACACACCACGCCGCCTTTCCTTTGCGCAATCGGTTGCGTTTGCATCCGCGCTGCGTATCGCGGGCGCGTCCAAATCCCGTCGAATTATAAATTTCTGAAAGATTTCTGCTATCTTGTCCCATAAATTTTTCTGACTGGATCCTGTATGAAATTTGCCGTGCCCCTGACCCGCGGCGCACCCGCGACCGGTGACACGTCTGGTATTCCATGGCCCAAAAGTTGAAATCAGCTCAGCGTCGGTCAAGCAGCGTGCGCGTCGCGCTGCGTGTCGCGGGCGCTGCTAGATCTGCAGCTAGCCTATAGTTAGCAAAAATCCATAGCCATTCCTTACTCGTCCCTTTAAATGTCACGTATAATTTTTAGCGGACTTTTTACATAATTCGATGTTCTCTAAAAGCCTGAAAATCCTCCTAAACTTGCCCTTTCCAATAGCAAAAGTACAAATTAGCGGCCACCAGCTGGCGGCCTTCCAAGAAACTACGGGACGTTCGAACCGCAAAGAGGCGCCTCCCGTATTCCCTCACTCTCGAGAATTATCACAACCATTTCTCCACCCCGCTGCCCCCTTCAGAAGCCCTCTCTTTCCTTTTCACGGGGGGGCAAGGGGCAGACACACGACATGGCTAATCCACATCAAGGTCATCTACCAAATAGAGCCATCAACGCGAACAAGCTGCTCGGCACAGAGGACGGCTTTTCCATACACAACCACTTCACTCCCTGTTTCCCCCTCCACCATCCTTGCACTTTCCGGCACAGGCTTCACGTTTTTCCACTTACTGGCAATATTCAGAGGGCTGGGAAGTACGTACTTATCTTTTTTTTCTGAGCTTAGGTTTAGGCTTTGGCTTAGGCTTAAGCTTCGGCTAAGCTTGAGCTCGGGCTTAGGCATTCTTCTATGAACCCTGATAACTCCCTTTACGCATACGTTTTAAATTCGTACATATTAAAGTTAAAACTTATCATAATTGGCTATCTCTCTCACTCTCTCCCTCTCTCTCGCTCTCTCTCGCTCTCTCTCTCTCTCTCTCTCTCTCTCTCTCTCTTTCTCAATCATTCATTCACTGCCCCTCTATATTCCCTCGTCAAACCCGATCTTAGAAATTGCTCCAATTACCGTACCCTATTCCAGATGGCAGACTCCCCGAAGGGGGACCGGGAAGCGTACGCGGCCCGATTGCGGGCCGTCAGCATCCTCGGCATTTCAGTTGGGTACGTAATTCCCAAAGCCATGGACTTAGGCCCAATTTCAGAGTAGTCGCCGTGCTGGCAGCTGTCATCTCCGGGCCCCTCCTCGTCCATCAACTCCAACGAGTACATTCGGTGCTCAGCGACGAGCTCGCCTTCTGCCGATCACAGTCGGCCGGGCTTTGGGCCGAGTTGGCCGTTTCGGAAGAGGTAGGAGATTCCGCTTGTTTTCGTACCTACGTAAGTGAAGCTAAGACTGGGCTTAAATTTCCGCTAAGCCCAAGTATAAGCCTATGCCTAAGCCTAATCCTAAGCCCAAGCTAAGCTCAAGCAGGCGGTTAAGTGGTTCTGGGCCCGGGCCCATGCCGGTTTCCAAAAATTTTCTTGCACGTCTAGCCATCAGTTTCTTCACCTCCATGTGATGCCGCCCGTTCCCAGTGTAGACGAGCAAAAACCCCCCTTACAAAAACGCCGTCACAAATCCGTGTGTGGTGTGGTATACGGCTTAGGCAGATCGTGGACGGGATCGTCGCGTAGCGTTTTGCGGGTGGCATCACGGATCGTCTTGACGAGCCGGAGGGAAGGGGGATGATGGCTGATTGATCATCCGTGTTTTTGCTATTCGTGGGGGGCACCCACCCGGTCCGGATCCAGGAATGGAGCAGGACCTGGGGGCCGATCAGATCCGATCCGTTCGGGTTGCCCCAAAACTCGGGATAAGATGCCCGAGGGGGAAATTAATAAGTGCAAGGTTGAAGAGAACCTTTTTAGAAGCTAAAGAAGCAAAAAAATGGAGGTGGTGGTGGAAATTTAAACTGAGTCTTTTTTGCCCACTTTAGAACTAAAAAATTGACTTCGCAAGGTTCTAAAGACAAAATTCGACGCTAAACAACTCCGAATCTCTGGATTTTGTTTTCTAAAATCCTTTGCAATCAAATTAAGCATTTCTGGAACTGATCTTCTGTTGGAATTCGACGTTTGAAAAATACAGAATTTTTGCTTTCGGACTTTAAGGTTTCGAAGTGATAGAAAATTTTTAAACGTACAATTTTCCACTTTTTTCCTTAATAGTTTTGCGTACATTTTCTTTCCCGCGCGTAATCGATTGACTTATGCCGCCCCTATCCCTTTAAGGCAGTCGTGGTATAGTTTAATTCTCCTAAACCCCTTTCCAAATTGATTAGATGAATCAATAAGGACAATTTTTTTTATCGTAAATCAGTTAAATCTCAAGGTTGTAAAGACCTATAGAAATTTTATGGAAAAGTGCCGACCATCAAGACCTCCCAAATCCCATTTTGCCGCTTCCCTGGAATCCGGGGGAATCCACTTTTTACAAAAACACCCCGTTCCCCCGTTGCCCTTCGGACTCTCCCGAGTCCATTACGTGCGCGTGGTGGCCTCAAGGGATTCCGGATTTTTACCAAAAAACGGTAGATTCTAGGTGATCTTTAGACTAGATATGTATACAAATGATGCATTAAATTTGATTTACCAAAACAGAAACATATTGTGTTGCATTATAGCAACTGGGCGTCTCTCCTCGTCGTGAGAAGCGCTCCCCCAGGCGGGCATCTCTCAATGGCCACTACGTCCCGCCACCACCACCCTTGGATAAGCAGTATGATGCGGGGCATTCCAGGTATGTATTTTGACGTATAGATCTTAGTGATTATAGTAATACGTAATATCGTAGTACCTAGATGATATTTTAAAATATACCCATTACCTCTTTTAAAGTACCTCTTTTAGTGAATACGGACTCCCGCGACCATCATATACTCCGCCGCAAGCTGTTGGACATGTAGGTTTCATACTAATTTATAGAATTTTGTTTCAGGGCAGCGCCTCCCCCTACGGCGTCGCCGAGCCGTCCATCAGCCGGCAAACCTGCTCGTGCTCGATCGGTGAGGCTGGACCTCCCGGTCAACCTGGAACTCCTGGACAGCCAGGTATTACTAAACATTACTTACTTTTAAGGATCCCGATCTCAAAAAAATCTAACCCGTACATTTTCCAAAAAAGTCTGACCGACTGAACAACACTGAACGCCTAGGCGTCGACGGCCAACCCGGTGATGATGGCCAGCCCGGCCCTGATGGTGTCGCTGCTGCTCCGCTGAAAGAGCAGGAGTGGTGCTTCGACTGCGCGGAGGCCGAGCCGGGAGCTGCTGGAGCTCCCGGGGACCAGGGACCTCCTGGGAAACAAGGATGCGCCGGACAGCCTGGGTCTCATGGACAACCAGGTAAAAATGATAAAATTATGGTAATGATCTTATCTAGGAGAATCCGGAACTCAAGGGCAGCCAGGGCGGAAGGGCCCACCTGGGCCACAGGGGCCACCCGGGCCACCTGGACGGCCTGGAGATGTCATCGAAACTGCTGGCGAACCGGGGCCGAGCGGACAAGCTGGTAAAGACGGATCTGCCGGGCCGGATGGGACACCCGGACTTCCGGGGAAGAATGGAGGAGATGGACCGCCGGGAGATAGGGTAGGTTTTATGCTTCTCGTTCGTTAATTTTCGTCCTTTTTTAATACATTTTTGACGATAAAGTCAAAAAGATTTGAAAATACGGAATTTCGAAAACAATTAATTAAACTACATAACACTACAAAATTCTAGGGTGACAATGGCCGACCAGGTGACCGTGGTCGTGACGGTCTGCCCGGAGAAGTGGGGCGACCCGGTGAAGCCGGATCGCCTGGAAACTGCAACCACTGCCGCAGCAAGGGATCGGCGGCGACAGCAGCGTCATCGCAGGTAGCTAGCGTAAGCAGATAAACCTCGTAGTCTGTAGTCTACTTACTATAGACAAATTTTAAGGCCTCCTACCCCAGCGTGGCACCTCCCAGCACGGCCGGTGGTTACAAGCGAAATGTGGCGCCAAGCGCAAAGGTATACTTTTTCCTACTTTCTTTTTGCATAAAATTACTGAGTTAATGTGCGTAGCTTCTACGTCAAATTCCGTCCGCAAAAAACGTAGACAGTAGAGCGCCGCTTTTACGAAAATGGAGTACGACCAGATACGCCGAACACCGTTCCCCGCTGCGAGCGCCGCATTTTCTCAATTCTAGTGGTACTTCCCTCGTTTGAATTGAAAAACTAAGCACATTTTTACAAAATTTTCCAGTTCCCCCAACGCCAACGCAGCCAGCGTCGCCAACGGCATCGTGATAATTAATGAAATGCCCCCTCCCCGCCCCCCATTTTTCTCCGCCCGGTGGTCTCAGCCTTCTCGCGTGTCTTTCCCCCTCTTCCCTCCTTGCCGTCGTCTTTCTGCTCCATTTTTTTATCCCAATTTTCATCTATTTATATTTTTGTGCACGTCTTGTATATTTATTGTGCCGAATGAAATCGGATTTATTGAAGCACACGCAAAAGCGAGGGGTCGGATGGCTGGCTAGTAGGACTCGAGCAGTCCGTCGTCTTCCGGTCCCTGCACGCACGGGGTCGACACCAGCGAGTGCGTCGTCAGCGTTTTCTAAACTTCGGTTCTTTGGCAATATCGTGGGAAGTGTCCTGAGCGCAATTCTTTTCATCCTTGCTAAACGTGACAAGCCCAAAAAAGCTTCAGTAAAAAAATAGCAAAAAAAATATTTTTGTTAAACATTTTTCTAAGTTTTCAAAGTAGTTTTTCTGCTTCAAATCAGTGAAATTCATCGAAAACATGAACAAACCGTTCTTTTGCATTACTAGGCCTTCTGAACTGACCTCTTCGGCCACCGACGTCACCGACGGTTCTTGGACGTTCTTCGAGCTGATCGTGTGGCAAACAGGGCGATGGCACTGAAAACCATTCAAATTTATGCATTTTACCTTCATAAGACGGGTCCGAACAACATGAAGCAGTCAAAAACTGACCAGCGGCGGAGAGCTGGGAACGCGCTGCGCCTGCGTTCGGCTGCGCACACGGATCACGCGGTCGACGGTCGGCGTCTCGCCCCGCCACAACGTTCCCAAAACAGCCCAAGCGGTCACCAACTGTGGCCAAAACCGAGAACTGAAATGAGTAATGAGTAAAAATAGAAAGATTGGAAAACATTTTACACCGAATCCTACTTACGCTGGCAATAAGTTGGCCAGCGGCCAGGCGACAAGCCCGATTTCGACGAGAAGGAGAAGAGCAGACGACCACATTATTGCTGAGAAAAATATAAATAACAGGGGGTTTTGATTTGTATTCTACGAACGGAAGTTATGCGTATCGAATTAATGCTAATGAATTTCCGTTTCGGTTCCGTGGCACGCGTAACTATTATATTCGTGCACTGTAAACCCAATATATTTTGAGGAAAAAATTTGGTAAACACACAACGTATTTTGTAGAAAAATTATTTTCAATTTGGAAAAGAAGGTTTTTGACCCAACTAGAACTCCCGACTAAACAGCGCCCCACACACCGTACCTACCTGGTTCGTGATGGTTGTATATCGTACTCTTCGCTTTTTAGCCTCATATGTTCGGGCGAACGGTGTTGTCTTTTTTTGCACGTTTTCTTCTGCACGCTTCTTGGAGTGCTCTCGTTTTCACGACCTTTTTTTCAGACGATGGGACGCGGTTCTGCGATCACGAAACGCAAGAATGGGCAGAACCGCACCGACGTGGCTAGGTACAATCTCCCACTTGTAATCGTCACCTTTTAATTCAGGTTGCTCGATCTGATGGCCAATCAACAACCAGCGCCGGCGGTCGCCCCATTTACTTCCGGGTAAAAATTTAATGTTCTCCGATAGCTAAGTTTTCTGTTAGATGGGCTCCTAACGACGCGAATCCGCCTCCGCCGAATGCCTGGGCCCCGGCGCCGAACGTCCCCATCGCAGCCGAGATTGCCTCTCCAAACGAAGCGCCGCCACCCAGGTTTCTTTAGCGTTATAGGCTACATTTTATTTTTGTAGGACAGATCAGCTACATCAATCTCAAGGTTTTGCAACGAGCACGCACTATTTCGGAAAGTAAGTTTAAATTTTTTTCCTATGAAATGCTGACCTGTTTAGACCCGAAGACGATCTTCGTTCAAGTACCAACGGCTTCCCTGCCTTTGACGCTGCAAAATGCGGAGTGTTTGAAGGTTTCGGTACGCCGAAAGGATCAGCCCCGATTCCACCCTCGAACGAAGCGCCCCTTCCTAGGTTTCTGCTTTTCCTTTTGATATAACCTTGGAATTTTAGCACAGAACAACTTCATCAAGCAGAGGCCTTTCCAAAAAGCACCTACTGTCGTGGATTTACGACGTCTGTTTAGTTCCTCTGTCGTTAACTTCTCCGTTTAGGTTCCAATTTCCTGCTCCACCAGCTCAATTCCCCCGTCAAGGAGGTGCCCCCGTTGGAGTTGCCTGGAGCCCATCGCCGAACCTCCCCGCCGCTGACCAGATGCCACCTTCAGACGAAGTGTCCTTCTCGAGGTTTCAGGCCTTTCGTTCGATTCTATTTTGTTTTTAGAACAGAGCAGCTGAATCAGTCGGCAGCTTTTGCAACGGACACGCAATATTTTGCAAAGTAAGCCCAAAATTAAAACAAAACTTTTATCTGCTTAGGTCAGAAGGTGCCGCGCACTCGTCTATCCAGCATATAGCCGCATTTGACGCTGCACAATGGAGCTCTGTTCAAGCTTCCAGCCAACAGATCTCCCACGTAGAAGTTGCCCCTACATCACCCGTTCCGCAAGCCTACAACGACTACGTTATAAAACCCAGCTTTCCGGATATGCGGCGCTCCGAAAATGATCGGTCAGCCTTGTCTATATTGTCAATTATATCTTTTTAGGCCTCAAGGATTTGCACCCGCTACAAATACTTCTCGAACGGACCAAAATAGCAGCCATCACTCTTCCAGCAAGCACAGCGACACTGCGACTACCAAGAAAGAAGGATTCTCGCTTTTTAAAAGAGGCCTACCCAAGCAGCTATCAAAGGGAGTCCTGAACCCCCGCAGGTACCTTTGTAATGCAGCATAACAAAAATTTGTTTAGGTCGTCAACGCCGTCGGACAACAGTTTTTCCTCAAACTCTGCGAAGGAACAGCAGCTTCCTGGAAGTTCGCTTGAGGGAGCCACCGCTGCTGCGCAAGCCACGAAGAATAATTTTGCTGTTGATGCCCCGTTGCAAGGCCGAACAACTCCCGGATCGCTGGCCTCTTCGGAAATCTACCACGCGACATCTCGAGCTTCCAACGATGCGGCTGACACTAGCGAGAGGTCCGGCCCGCCAGCTCCAGCTGCCGATCAGCGGACCGATGAGCTCAATAGAACGACGCCTTTTGCTTGGCCATCAGAGTGTCTGACATTTCGGTCGATTCCATCTGCCGATACCCAGAGTATGCCTCATCTTCCGGCCGCCTCTCCGGCAACCAACTGGCCCGGATGCCTGGAGAAGACCGGCTTCGGCTCTGCGCGCGAAGGAGCTTTTGACAAGCAGCAAACGGAGATCGTCGAACACCGTGCAACTTTGTAAGTTTTTTTTCAAATATCTATGGACTAACTATCGTTAACTTCAAAATCAGCCTCACAAACGATACTTCGTTTTATGCCAGATTTTTATTTCTATCTTTTAAAGATCTTTACTTGTCCGTTGACAGTTCTATTTGTTACAGAAACCCCCACCCATCCAATAAACCGGCTGCTGTCCCACCCGCTGCAGTCTGCAATGATGCTTGGCAGTAAGTTTTGTTTTCATTATTATTTGAAACCCATTTTTAGGGCCGCTTCTACCCGCGACAAGGATGATGAGGAATACGCACCTACAGTGTCTGTCGCCATCGAGCCCCTGGAAATGCAGGCCCGTAGCTTGTAGGAATCGGGTTTTGTTCGTAAAAACTTTATAGGAATTCGTTCGAGGAATGCGGGCACGTTGGGATCGCGATTGCCAATTTTCTCAAGACGTACGCCGACAATCCCCGTCCGACGGTCGTGCAACAATTCGCATATCCATTCTTAAAAGGTATAATTTAGGCTAGCATAGGTATATTTTTCGTTCAGATCGCCGTCCTGTGGCGGTACGCGCCCCGACGGGTAGTGGCAAGACGGTCGCATTTCTTCTGCCGATTTTGGAGAATTTGATTAAAGAAGGCGGAAAGAAAAACGTTAGTCTATTTTCCCTCGCACTCTTTTGATTGTTAGCAGAATCCGCGCTGCATCGTTTTGGTGGACACCCGAGAACTCTGCGAGCAGCACTGGAAAACGTCGCTGAAGATTATCGAACAACTCGAGAGATGTATGGTTTTGCGCTTTTCTCAACCTCTTTTTTTTTTAGTCAATCTGGAAGTACGCGTCGACTGTCACATGGGAGGCGATCCATTTGGCCCGCCAAAACATATGGTATCACCTCTTTTCCTGGCAAAAACTTTTACAGTATGACGGCCGCCTATCCTGCGACATCGCCTTCATTTCACCGGGCCGCCTGATGGATTACCTCGGCGGGGGCAACAACTCAAAGAGGGCGTTCAATAAACTCGACCTCTCGGAGCTGCAATACATAGTGATGGACGAAGCGGACGAGGTTGTGAACTTTCTTTCTCTGCAATACTTTTTTAGCTTTTCTTCCCTGGCAAATTCCAGCAAGAAATGGTGACGTTGGGCAAGGAATTGGAAAGATGTCGTGAATTGAAGGTATAATACTCTATTTTTTTTTCCTGTATTCTGCTGCCTAGGGGGACGGCTATCGTCCATGCTTCACGCTATTTTCGGCCACGCTCTACAAGACGGACCCGGATCTGCGACGGTCCTGCTTGCGGCTGGGAGAAGATTTTGATCCTCTAAAGGTTAAGAAAGCTATCAAACGAATCATCGACCCGCATTTTAGATGGGTTCTGTCGAGGTGCTCCAGCAGCAAACAAATATCGTCCAAACGGTGTTCCTCATCACCCAGTCGTACCAAAAGCTGCAATTGCTCGTCAAGCTCCTCGATCGCGATCTGGAGATGATGGGAATGACGCGGGAGCATAGCCGTCGAGCCAGTAAATTTGGTTCATTTTGTTTTATCCTATTTTTTTAGCCAGTTTTGACTTCTCGACGGTCATCTTTTGTAACCAGCGCAAGGAGACGTATATGCTGGCTAGCTACCTGACCAGTCATTATGGATTCAACGTCGTTGCCCATAATTCGTATGCTTTTCGCACTTTTTTGTTATCTTGAATTTTTGCAGTTCCTTCCCAAATGAGGTGCGCCGACGCAACCTTCAGAACCTCGAGGCCGGCCGTCTCCCGTTCATCGTTGCCACAAATGCGCTCTCGCGCGGAATCGACAGTACCCGGATCAAACATGTACGAATGTTTTTACCAACTATTTTTAGTTTTAGGTAATCCTTTACGGCGTGCCGAATACGAATTGGAACTCATACACGCATCGAGTCGGACGCACAGGACGTCGGGGGACCGAGGGCCGAGCATCAATCTTTTTCGACCAGTCTGAAGAGGACGATCGAAGGAGGGGCGCCTTGTTGCTTCGGGTAATATCAAAATACGGTTTCCTATGTTAGCGAGTAGCGATGTAATTTTAAATTTAGCCGCCTTTGTCTAGCGACACAACCAAATTTTTTTAAATCCTGGTAGTAGTTGCCGCTCCCTACCAAAACGCTTTTTGGAGCCCTTGAAAGATAGAAGTTTTTCATCAGTTTCTGTTTTTTCATATATTCTTTCCCAAAAATTCGAGGTTTTTCGAACCGTGTAAGTTTTTTGTTCAAATTGTTTTTATAATTAAAAAACGTTGAAATTTACTTAAAACGCGTCGGAAAACTTCGTCTTGCTTCCCCCCTAAAATGGCCTAAGCTTTGCTAAAGCATTTTTGCAGACCCTATACCTGCATGGCCAGAAGACTCCAAGGTTTCTGTTCGAAAGTTACCGTGCGCAAGCCTTTCCGGATGAACAACTGAGGGAGCCGACCCTCTCAATGGTAAAATCACAATTGCTTATCGATTTTTTTTCTTAGGGCGAACCACCGGCCGAAGTCGATTTCGAAGCTTGTGGTCTTGATGTAGAAGAAGAAGTTTACGAGGAAGACAGCGACACCTCGGACTCGTGCCTCTCGCTCGCCAGACTGGAGCCATAAATCAATAATCAAATTGTTATTTCCCTTGTTTTAATTGTTGACCGATTTATTCTTTTGCTGATAGTATGTAATTGCTTGATATGTCTGAAAATGTCTTTCAAAGCTGCTTGATTTCCGCAATAAATTTTATTGTTAGCCCGCTCAATGTTCACTTCAAACGGCCCGTAGCATACGAAGCAGTACCGTTTACAAGGCCCTTGTGGCGCGCCCGTGCAACTTGGGCTCCATATATTCGGAAATCCTTTTGAAAATATCTTTGAACTTGTTAGCGCTCCAAGATTTTCGAAGTTTTTCTAGTCGATGTATTCAATAACAAGAAGGGCCCTACTGCTGCCACGACACCGGATTCAGCCTGTTTTGCGGCTCTACTCCGAAATCGACTTCTCAAAGGAGAAACCCACGCCATGGCAACTCGAGCACATCCAAACGCGTTTGATCGACACCACGCCCGACTTTTTTCGCTCGCGGATAGACTATACGTTCTACAAGCCGGATGTTATTTGCGAAGATCAACTGACGGGCCGCACCTACGTCGGGCGAGATCAATTGATGCGTTTGTTCGGCCTCTATTCCGTCACGCTCAAAATGATTTGCCCGCATATCGAAATGGAATGTGTTGATTGCCATCCACAAATCGAAGATGGAACCGTACGGTTACGATGGCGCGTCAAATATGTCTCTTGGCTGCGAGCCTTGACGAACCCTCGACTATTCCGCTTCGACTATAGGATAAAGAACCTGAGCTGGTATGATGGCTATTCGGTCTTCTACGCCGATGGCAACGGAGATGTCTACAAGACGACAATACAGCGTTGCCGTAGAGACGAGTCGTATCTGCTGAAGGGCGCAGAGAACATCAAAAAGAAAATCGAGAATGTCGTCGCACCGAAGCCGGCTGGCACCGTCAATTCTTCTACGTCGGAAGAAGAAAAGGCCAAGCAATAGGATTAGTTACTCGTAGTTAGATTTCTAATACGGTTCGATGTGATTATCACCAAGTCTTTTATAGTCTAGTCAGATGTGTAAAAGGACATTGCTGTAGGATTTGTGCTCACCAGATTTCTAAACGTAATACCTATGATCTCAGTTAATTTTTGTACCTGCTGCTTGGACGATCTTATTATTTCTATTTCGCCTTTGTTTTCTGGCTCAATTTTTCCGCCTTACTATAAATCAAGTTTAGAGGGTCCACCGAAACCATCTGACTTCTCAAGATGGCGGACGAAATAGCTCGCAATCAGCAGTATGAGTATCGACAGGTTCGGCTTTTTGATATTGTTAGGATTATTGCTTTTAGAACTCAAATCTGGTGTTGCAAGTGGATTACTCTCTCACGGACAAGCGAGGAAGAGATGAAGCCACCGGAGAGGTTATGCCGTTGAGCGACAAGGCCCTGCGCGGCACCAAAATGGGAGACAGATACTTGCGACAGAAGGCACCTACAGAAAAGGACAAGAAACCAAGAAAGTAAGCTAGTTTTAAGATATGGATATATATTTGCTTTTCAGAAAGAAGCAAGAAGACGAACGCACTTCACGTCACACAAAGGCGTCTCTGCTGTCCGATTCTCATGAAATGATGGGTGCCTACAAGCCTCGCACGCAAGAGACCAAGCAGACCTACGAAGTCATCCTCGCTTTCATCCAGGACTCGCTGGGTGATCAGGTACAATAACCAGTTGTTTTTTGAAAATGTTTTGTTTTAGCCACGAGACATTCTCTGCGGAGCAGCCGACGAAATTCTCAGCGTCTTGAAGTCGGACAAGATTCGCGAAAGAGAAAGAAAGAGGGAGATCGAATCGTTGCTCGGCAATTTGACTGATGAACGTACGGCCCTTCTCATCAATCTCGCCAAGAAGATCACCGATTTCTCGATCGAGGACGATAAGCACGAGGTATAAAATGGTGTCCTAGGTCTAGAATGTTGTTTAGGAAGAAATCGACGAAACTGAAGGCGTGAACGTCCACTTCGACGAGTCGGACGAAGACCAGGATGAGATGAACGACGAGATCAAGGGTGACGATGATAAGAGCGGCACCGAGGAAGAAGATGGCGAAGAAGCCGATTACTCTGAGACGTTGAAGGCTGACGGGATTGATGATGAGGTATGTCCGCTCAGCATGATTTTTATATTTTTTTGCGTAGGACGATTCACAACGTCGTGGCACTGCTCTCCATTCCCGTGACATCGATGCTCATTGGATCCAACGATCGCTTGGCAAATTTTTCAAGGACCCAATTGTCGCGCAGGAGAAAATGAAGGAGGTGCTGGCTATTCTGAAGGTTGGTGGTTTATTATTTTGTGGAACACTAAGAACTAGATATTCAGCAACGTAACGTCATGTGTTTTCAGCAATCTTCCGACGATCGTGATTGCGAGAACCAGCTCGTGCTTTTGCTGGGTTTCGAGGCTTTCGATTTCATCCGCGTTCTCCGAACCCACCGCAAGCTCGTCCTCTGGTGTACACTTCTGAAGCAGGCTTCCCCGGAAGAAAAGTGAGATATAAAGCAGCTTCCATAATCTGCTTTTAGGGTTCACATCGAGGAGGAGATGCGTTCCAACCCGGAGCTCAATTTCATTATTCGCCAGTTCGATGAGACTGATGCCAACATTGTCGACTCCGAGCGAGAAAAGCGTGCGAAGGCCTCACTCAAGAAGGCTGACAATGCTGCCGGCGAAGAAGCTGTCTTGGCAGGTATGTCGCGTTCTTTTTTTATAAACCTCTTTACTTAGGAGCTTGGATGACCCAACGCAAGAACCTGGATTTGGACGAATTGACGTTCGCACAGGGCAGCCATTTGATGAGTAACAAGAGGTACGCAAAAATGTTTCCATATATACACTTTTTTTCAGCTGCTCCCTCCCATCCGGCTCCTTCCGTCAACAGAAGAAAAGTTACGAGGAAGTCTGCGTCCCAGCCTTGAAGCCGAAGCCGTTTGATCCCAACGAGGTTAACGCCCTAGATAAAATTTATATTCTTTTTTAGAAACTCATGAACATCTCTGATCTTCCTGCTTTTGCGCAGAAGGGTTTTGAAGGCTACAAGGCGCTCAACAGGATCCAATCGAAGCTCTGCAAGTCCGCCTTGGAGACTGATGAGCACATTCTTCTCTGTGCCCCAACGGTAATTTTTGATCCGCTGGTTTCTATAAATTTTTTAGGGAGCCGGTAAGACGAACGTGGCGATGCTCTGTATTCTGCACGAAATTGGCAAGCACTTGAACGAGGACGGCTCTGTGCGACTCGACGAGTTCAAGTGCATCTACGTCGCCCCGATGAAGTCGTTGGTGCAGGAAATGGTCGGCAGTTTCACGAAGCGACTCGAACCCTTTGGAATCAAGGTTTTTAGCTTCTCTTCCGGTTTTTACATTTTTCAGGTCGGTGAAATGACTGGAGACGTGCAGATGAATAAGGAACAGTTCATGGCGACTCAAATTATCGTTTGCACCCCCGAGAAATACGATATTGTCACCAGGAAGGGTAGGGAATTTTTCTTCTTCTGAGAATCCGATTTAGGAGGCGAGCGCTCGTACAACCAGCTGGTCAAGTTGATCATCATCGACGAGATTCACTTGCTCCATGACGATCGTGGACCGGTCCTCGAGGCCATTGTTGTCAGGTATGGATCTCCTGTCGTTTCTGATCATTTTCGATTCAGGACTCTCCGCCAAATGGAACAGAACCACGATGACATCCGTTTGGTCGGTCTCTCCGCCACCCTGCCCAACTACCGCGATGTAGCCCATTTCTTGCGCGTGAAGGAGGAGCATCTTTACTTCTTCGACAACAGCTATCGACCGGTTCCACTCGAGCAGCAGTACATCGGAATCACCGAGAAAAAGGCCCTGAAGCGCTTCCAGGTATGGCCTTGCTCGATTTTTTTAGTTTACGTTTTTAGGCCATGAATGAGGTTGTCTATGAGAAGATCATCGAATTGGCCGGCAAAAGTCAAGTGCTCGTCTTCGTCCATTCGAGGAAGGAGACCGCTAAGACAGCAAAGGCGATCCGCGACGCTTGTCTTGAGAAGGATACACTGTCGCTCTTCATGAAGGAGGGATCGGCTTCAACGGAAGTGCTGCGAAGCGAGGCGGAAAATGTATCGATTATTGTTAGTTATTGAAAAAACCTTTGTTTAGGTGAAAAACCAAGATCTGAAGGATTTGCTGCCATACGGTTTCGCTATCCATCACGCTGGTATGACGAGGGTCGATCGTTCGCTGGTTGAAGATCTCTTTGCCGATCGTCATCTCCAGGTTACCCCTTCAAAACCTTCAAGAATCCGCTTTTTAGGTCCTTGTTTCGACCGCTACTTTGGCCTGGGGTGTGAACTTGCCCGCCAACACCGTCATCATCAAGGGAACCCAAATCTACAACCCGGAAAAAGGCCGCTGGACTGAACTGGGCGCACTTGACGTGCTCCAGATGCTCGGTCGTGCCGGTCGTCCTCAATACGACACGAAGGGCAAGGGCATCCTCATCACCCACCACTCGGAACTCCAATACTACCTCTCGTTGATGAACCAGCAGCTGCCCGTCGAATCGCAGATGATCTCCAAGTTGACCGACATGATGAATGCGGAAATCGTTCTCGGCAACATCAACAATGTCGCTGATGCAGTTAACTGGCTGAAGTACACTTATCTCTACGTGCGCATGGTCAAGAACCCCACGCTGTACGGCATCTCCGCGGATCCGGGCAAGGCCGACACGGCTCTGGAGCAACGATGCGCTGATCTGATCCACACTGGATGTATTCAGTTGGACAAGGGCAGTCTCATCAAGTACGACAAAAAGATGGGCTCGATCCAGCCGACCGAGCTTGGCCGTATTGCTTCGCATTACTATTGTACCTTTGATTCAATGCAGACCTACAACCAGTTGCTGAAGCCGACTGCGACCGAGATTGATTTGTTCAGGTGAATAATTTCTCCTGAATATTACTGGCTTTATCTTTAGTTTGCACCCTTCATTTGTGCATTTAGAATCTTCTCGCTGTCATCCGAGTTCAAGTTGATCTCCGTTCGCGAGGAAGAAAAGCTCGAACTCCAGAAGCTCGCCGAGCACGTCCCGATCCCCATCAAGGAAAGCCTCGAGGAAACCTCGGCCAAAACCAATGTCCTGCTGCAGGTATGCCGATTTTGATTTGCCTTAAACAATTTTCAGGCCTACATTTCACAACTGAAGCTTGACGGGTTCGCGCTCCAAGCCGATATGGTGTACGTGGCCCAATCCGCCGGCCGTCTTTTCCGCGCCATCTACGAGATTGTACTTTGGCGAGGATGGGCTCAGCTTGCGCAGGTTCGTAGTAGAATCTGAATATTTATTCATTTTTATCTTAGAAAGTGCTCAGCCTCTGCAAGATGGTCAACCAGCGGCAATGGCAGTCGCTGAACCCGCTGCACCAGTTCAAGAAGATTCCATCGGAAGTCGTGCGCAGCATTGACAAGAAGAACTATTCCTTTGAACGGTATCCATTTCGTAAATGCTTTGGAAATCTTTCTTTTCAGATTGTACGATCTGGATCAGGTGCAGCTCGGCGAGTTGATCAAGATGCCGAAAATGGGCAAGCCGTTGTACAAATTCATTCGCCAGGTAAATTCATTTTTTTCTTTTGAATTTTTTTTAGATCCCGAAACTCGAGATGACCACATTGATCCAGCCGATCACCCGGTCGACTTTGAAGATTGAGCTGACGATCACGCCAGACTTTGTCTGGGACGAGAAGGTGCATGGTGGCGCTGAGGGATTCTGGATCTTTATTGAAGACGTTGACGGCGAAACAATCCTGCACCATGAATATTTCTTGCTGAAACAGTAATTATTTTATCAATTTTTTTCTAGATATTGATTTTTAGGAAATTCTGCACCGACGAGCACGTCGTGAAGATGTTTGTGCCGGTCTTTGATCCCCTTCCACCGCTCTACTTTGTCCGCATCGTCAGCGACAAGTGGCTTGGATCTGAGACGGTACTTTCGCATCATTTTTCTTGGAATTAGTCTTTAGGTGCTCCCAATCTCCTTCCGCCACCTCATCCTCCCGCAGAAATACCCGCCTCCCACCGAACTTCTTGATCTGCAACCGCTCCCTCTTTCTGCGCTGAACAATGAAGAATTTGAGTCGATTTTCAAGCAGAAGCGGATTAACACTTTCAACCCTATCCAGACTCAAGGTGAGGAGAAGCTGTGAAATTAAACTTTTTTTAGTGTTCCGTACCGTGTACGAGGGCAAGGACAACGTACTCATCTGCGCCCCACAGGGCTCCGGCAAGACGGCCTGTGCCGAACTGGCGATTCTGAGGTATCAATGGCGAAAATATCTCATTAAATGTTTTAGGCATTTCGAAAACGCCCCAGAAGCCCGTGTCGTCTACGTGGCCCCGAATGAGGATTTGGCGACGAAGACTTACGAGGATTGGCAAGAACGTATCGGCAAGGTGCTCGACAAGACCATCGTTATGCTGACTGGCGAGCCGACTTTGGACCAGAAGCTTCTTGCCAAGGGCTGGCTAATTGTCTCGACGCCGGAACGATGGGATGCCGTCTCTAGACGCTGGAAGCAAAGAAAGGCCGTCCAGAACGTTCGCCTCTTCATCGTCGACGATCTGCACATGATTGGTGGAACGACAGGGGTAATATTTCTCTTCTTCAGTATTTATTCCTTCTAATTTAGCCGGTGATGGAGGTCGTCTGCTCGAGGATGCGCTACATGGCCTCTCAGATGGAGTCGAATCTGCGGATCGTTGGATTGGCATCATCACTCGCTAACGCCAACAACGTGGGAATGTGGCTGGGTTGCCCGGCAAGCTCAACGTTCAACTTCCCACCAAGCTGTCGCCCGGTACCGCTGGAGATGTACCTTCAGGGTTATAACCTGTCGCACACTGCTACCCGACTTGCCGCCATGGTGCGCCCGGTGTATGCAGCGATTACACGACACGGTGGAAAGGTAACTTTGTTATGATTGTGTAAATCTTATTGATTCAGATTCGACCAAAGCCAGCGCTCGTTTTTGTCCCCGGAAGACGGCAGACACGATCCACCGCCTTGGACATTCTGACGATGGCCCACGGAGATGGTTCATCGAACCGATTCCTACACGTGTCCGAAAACGACGAATTCTTCCAGAAGATCGTTTCCAACATTCAGGTGCGCACATTCCAGTCTTTTTAATAATTTTCCTTAGGACGAGGCGCTGCGCGAGACCCTTGTACGCGGTGTCGGCTTCATCCATGAGGGCACCTCTGCAAAGGACGTGTTCAGTGTGCAAGAGCTCTTCAACTCGGGTGCTATCCAGGTAATGGCTATCAGCACTAGCATATTTTCATGTTTAGGTCTGTGTTGTTCCGCGCTCGATGTGCTATCAAATCACGATGCAATCGTACCTGGTGATCATTATGGACACGCAATACTACAACGGAAAGTACCACGTCTACGAGGACTATCCAATCGCCGATGTGCTCCATATGATTGGTTTGGCCAGTCGCCCGGATCGAGACCAGGACGGTTAGTATTTTTGCATTTTCAAAACCTTTTTGTTTAGCGAAAGTCGTTCTGATGTGCCAATCGTCGAAGAAGGACTTTTTCAAAAAGTTCCTCTTCGAGCCGTTGCCCGTCGAAAGCCACTTAGACCACCAGCTGCACGATCATTTCAACGCGGAGATTGTCACGAAGGTCATCGAGAACAAGCAAGATGCTATTGACGTGAGATATTTCATTCATATTGAGAATCCTAATTTAATCGTAAATCAATTTAATTTTTCCTGTTTAGTACCTGACGTGGACTTTCCTGTACCGGCGTATGACGGAGAACCCGAACTACTACAACTTGCAAGGGACATCTCATCGTCACTTGTCGGATGCACTTTCCGAATTGGTCGAAAATACTTTGAAGGTATGTAGGATTAGTCTTTTTGGATTACCATGTTTTTTAGGATCTCGAAAACAGCAAGTGCATTGCCGTGAAGGACGAAATGGACACGAATCCGTTGAATTTGGGAATGATTGCTGCCTACTACTACATCTCCTACACCACGCTCGGTATAATGAATCCCGGAGATCTAAATATTATTCCTTTTTACAGAGCTCTTCTCCCTTTCACTGCAGCCCAAGACGAAGATGCGTGCCTTGTTGGAAATCCTCGCATCAGCCAACGAATTCACGGACATCCCGATGCGCCATCGCGAAGATGTCGTACTACGACAGCTTGCTGCCCGACTTCCGAATCAGCTGAAGCACCAGAAGTACACCGACCCGTCAGTCAAGGTAAATTTTGCTTCCCACCTATTAGTTTGAAAATTTTAGGTCGCGCTCCTCCTCCACGCTCATCTGTCGAGGATAAAACTGTCTGCGGAGCTGAACAAGGATACCGAACAGGTGCGCGAAACTCTCCCGCTTACAAATTCTTTCTAGATTGTGCTAAAAGCTGTGCGACTGGCCCAAGCATGCGTCGATGTGCTCAGCAGCAACGGATGGCTGTCCGCTGCTATCCACGCCATGGAGCTTTGCCAGATGTTGACGCAGGCTATGTATTCCTCGGAGAGCTACTTGAAACAGCTCCCGCATGCCACCCAAGCGTTGCTCGACCGCGCCAAGGAGAAGGTAAAATTTTCAAAATGATTGAAAAATAATAGAATTTCTGCAATTGTATTTAGAAAGCTGTAATTTAACAGCTATAAAAAATTTCTTCCAGAAGGTCGAATCCGTCTTTGAACTTCTCGAGCTCGAAGATGACGACAGAACGGCCCTGCTCAAAATGGACGACGCGATGCTGTCGGACGTGGCCCGCTTCTGCAATAACTACCCGGCCATCGAAATTGAGCACACGCTTTCGAAGGATTCTGTGACTATGTGAGTTCATCATCCCTTTTCTCATCCTCTTTCTAGGGGCGACCAAGTGACCATCTCCGTGACGCTGGAGCGCGAGAACGCCGACGACAATGGATTGGCGCCGAAGGTTAGATTAGCCGCAGTTTTCAATGTGCTTCTTTAGGTGGTGTGCCCGTTATTCCCGCAAAAGCGCAAGGAAGAGGGCTGGTGGTTGATTGTCGGTGACCAGGCGAACAACGAGCTGCTGTCTATCAAACGGTACGCTAGGTCTTAATGCGTTTTTTTACAGGATTGAACCAAAACCGCATAATTGTTATTCACAAAATTCTGGAAATTGACATTTTCGTATCATAATTTCAAATTTAAGAATTTCTAGGGTTTCCAAGGAGTTTTTCGACTTTAAATTTGGCTCATTTTACAAAAAATCTACATTTGCGATTTTCAGCATGACGGTCAACGAAAAGGCGGCCGCCCAACTGGAATTCGCCCTGAAGACGGCCGGCACAAAGAAGCTGAAATTGTTCTTCATCTCCGACTCGTATCTGGGCGCGGATCAAGAATTCGATTTTACCGTCAAGGTTGAAGGTAACGAGCCTATTTAGCTTCCTCATTAATGACTACTTTAGATTCCCGTGCCCGGAAGCGCCGCCGTGACGACGACTAAGCCCACCATCCCCTCTTGAACTCCCACGTGTTTGTTTTAATTTATTCGTCATCGCTGTTGATTTACTTTGCTGAATATCATTGAGTTGTTCCTTACGTTCATCCCCCTGGTCTCATCATCTTGTTATTACCATGTTGTAGCCGTTGCTTCTAAAAGTATATAAACTGTTTCACCCCGGTTATAGGATTGTTGGTTGAAGCACCGAACAAGATTTAGGTTTGTCGCGTTTTGCGCTCGTACAGCCCGAGGGGAGCCGGCGTGGATCTCGACACCTGCGTGTGTGCAAGTGGTGTGGGCGCGAATAGAAAGGCTCGCGGTTGTGAAGGACCGCAAAAGGTGATGGGGAGGGGGGGGGCAAGCCGAGATTCGGACGAACCGGATCGCCGTCTCGTGTACGGAAATCAAAATCCCCCCATGCGCCTCGTTCTCCTCGCGGGCGACAATCCCCATCCAAACCAGGAACATCATGCTCCATTGATCCCTCCTTCCGGCGCGTGTGGATAAGGGGATCGTCTGGATTTGCATGGGTTTCCTGTTTTTGGAGTGCTGAAGCCGGCTACCTGATTTTTCAGCCGTTGAAGCGATGTTAAGCTATTTTAGCTTTTAGCCATTTTTGTGCCACGATTTTCGCTTATTTTCGATTTTTTAGCGTAACGTTTATAATACAAATACGCGAATAGACTAATGCCTCGAAATTTCTCTATTTACCTGCGCTTCCTGTTTTTCTCAAATCCCGGCAGGCTACCTGTATTTTCATCATTGTTCCTTTTTACGATTTTAAAATTCGATTAATAATGATTATAAGTTTAGAACGTAGCTATAGAAGAAGAACAAAAAGAAGCCTGTCACAACCATGGTTCTCCGAAAAACGGTTTTTATACTATTTTTAATAAAATTCGGTGAGTTCCGCATGTTCCGCAAGATGTATATTTTGTTTTGCTATTTTTCGTAATTTACGCATGGTGAAGCTAAAACTACATTGGTTATTTTGAGGTTCATTCTATATAGAAAGGTAGTTGAATCGAGGGGTATCTGAAATAGATTGGTTGAGATGTCGAACCTTATTTTGCAGCTTCAACATTTTCGCTGGACTGCGACTTCAGGACGGATTGTTGCTGGCGGAGCGCGGAGGGTGAGGGGAAATGGGAGAAGCGGACGCGGATATCCGCCAATGAGTTCCGGCGGACCTTTCTTGTTGGGAAAGGCATCCGACAGCCAGGTAAAAAAAAGACAAAAAATTCTAGATTCCGTCAGACTATCTAGAAACGTTTTTAAAACGTTTTAGACCTTTTTCTCCTTTAGAAGGCCCATTCGTGATGCGTGCCGAGAACGGAGACAAAGAAGAAGGGGGCTCCTCCTACATGTCGTGCCCGTTGTGCTCGAAGTCGGCGGTGACCGTCCGATTCCGGCAAGTTTTGGCGTTTTTCTTGTCATTTTTCGCTTTCAGCCATTGGCAATCGCCGACGGCCCAGGTCAGCTTGTGCTGGCAATCTGTGGCGGGGCAAGAGGTTAGCGTTTTTTAGTTTGAACGGGTTAATTTTATAATTTTAAAATTGGAGTAGTTACCTAGAATGTTTTTCTATTAAATGAGCTATCTAACGATTCTTTTCGTTTATTTATGTATTTTATATGTCAAATTTTGACAAGCGAAGTTTTCTTTTAGGGAGTGGATAAAGAAGAAGAAGACTGCTCACCGATTTCAGCCACCGAGCAAAGCGTCATCACGAAAAAGACGTTGTTCGTCCCGATTGGCAGGCAAATTCAGGTTTTTTTCACTTATACAACCGAATCGCGGCTTTTTCTAGCTACATCCTGCAAAATGCAATACAATAAAACGTTTTAAGAATTATTTTAGTTGTATTTCCTCGTGGAAAATGCATCGCCAAGAACATACGGCGTTATTTTGATCGACAAAATTGCTGTGGAATACAAGTAAGTGATTCTTATAAAATTTTTATGTGATTTACTGCTCTCTAGAGACTGCAATTCAACAACGGAGGCTGAGAAGGACGAGGAGAAGCATAGCGCCACGTGGGTTTCATCGAATTTAATAGAATATTATATTTTTTAGCTCTGCCATCCAAAAAGGCACGTCCGAGCCGAAGAAGTGGGTTTAGGCCAATTTTGATCTTGTTTGGCTTTACACGTTTATTTATTTTTTGAGACTTTTTGGAGCTTTTTGCTTGCCCAAATTTTTATAAAATTTCAGGACAACGCGCCGAAACCACGTGCCGAGCCAGTTGGAATCAGGGATCCGGAAATTGAAGATAAAGTCAGTTAATTTTACTAAAACGTTTCGTTACTTTTTATTGCCTTTTTTCCTAACTTTTATTCTGCCTACATATGATTTTTTATTTATCGATGGCTTTATACATTTTTTATCAATTCATCTTTTCTAGAAGCCTTTTTCCGACCGATGAGCAGCTGAACAACGAGGTGGCTCGCCAGATACGGAATCTGGAGCGCCCCGGAATGTGGGTTCAAAATCAAGGACTTAAAACAAGGATTTAGCAAGGATAAGGATACAGCTTATGCAAAAGAGAGGGACGGGCAGTTGGTAGGTTTTTTTGCTAAAAAGGTGATTAATCGAATAGTTTAGGCGGGACGGCCGAAGAAGCAGAAAAAGACTTCAGAAGCTGGTGGACAAGTTTCGGTATGGGAAGATCTCTCTCTCTCTCTCTCTCTCTCTCTCTGTGTGTCTCTCTCTCTCACTCTCTCTCTCCCTCTCTCTTAAAGTTAAAGCTTTAGACTGGCCACACAGCCATTTCCCCAAATATCTTCACTTCTGAAGAACCAGCCAGCGTCGTTATGCCCCAACCGGTTGGACAAGCTACCATAGCAGCAGCCGTCCCAGCAGCTCCACTTGGCCCCACGTCGCTCGGGAAGGATTTCAATCGTAAGTTCGACGAGAGAGAGAGAGAGAGAGAGAGAGAGAGAGAGAGCGAGATAGAGAGAGAGATATGCATAATTTTTTAAAGCCCTCCACGACCTCGTCGGCAAAGAATTCTCCGATTTCCTGGACCCGGGCTTCGTGACGAAGGATGAGGACGAGGGGGATGACCCGGAAACTGAAGCATACTTCAAGGCAGAGGTGGCTTCAATAGATTCGTCTTTTTAACAAATATTTTTTCAGAAAAAGAAGGCGAAAAAGGTTGTTCGGCCGCCGAAGAAGACTACTGTTACGCCACTTCCAGCACACTCAGTGGCAGCCTTACCAGTGGGTATTTTTGGGACTTAAAGGGATTAAAAAGCGCGAACTCCGATCCTGCCACCGACTAGCTGTAAACAACTACGCAGCGCACCAGATACACTCGCAATCACAAATTTATCGCTGCAAAAACTCAATTTTGCGTAGTTTGTAGCCTAACGTAGGTGTCGATGCCTAGCCTTTATCTGGGGGTAGATTTTGAAATTTTGAGCTGCCTCATCCCTTTAAAGGGCCACTGAAGATCCCATTTTCGGATATTTTGGAAGGTTAATACGTGGATGTTTTCAGACAATTCCACCGACGCTTTCCACTACGCATCACCCACTTCAGGCTATCTTCAAGCATCCGTAAATGCCTAAAATTGGTCTGAAATGGGGTGAATTTTAGGAATGAATGCTCGACGCCTGGAGGTTGTTTGTTTGAGAACGGGCTCTGCTCCTACACGCACGCCACCCTCGATCCCAACCAGCAGTTCAGGATTACTAAAGGTCTTTTAGAATGTCACTTTTTATTTAAAAATCAATTTATTCTTGGCTAGTAGAAAATAGATTAATGCCAAAACGATCCCTGAAAGTCGATTTCCAACGGTTTTTACCAATAATATTCTTAAAAAATGTCGTAATCGAATGTGTCGTCGTCGTCGTTTACCGTAATCGTCTTAATAAAAGCAACAAAAAAAAATTATTTTTCCACATTCTAGTCGGCACGTCAAGCTTCGCGCTGGCCGTCGTCCAGCCCAGTGCCATGGTCGTCATCGAGGCGCCCACCAATTTCGACAAGGAGCATTTGGTGTGTTCCCAAAATATTTCTTGGTCTGTAACGTAACCCTGAAGTGCGATATTTTAGATTGTCATGGATGTACTCGAGAACTCGGCGGATGTCAGTTTGAGGGGATGCTGCCAGGCAAGCGTTTATTTTTAAGAATTATGTAGAATGAAAATAGATAAAATATAGATAGCCAGAAATTAACAATTTTAGGTGAATGGCCAAGCTCAACTCTACTGTCCATTCGGGACTCCATTCGAGGGTTCGGTTGTGATGTGGCAATCGGGCAGATTTACTTGTCCGGCTAACACTATTAAGGTAAGTAAATAGAAGGGAGCTAGGAGCTGCGCGGAACCTTTTTGACTGCGTCGCGTGCACGTCGCAGCGCGCCTTGCCTAACTTACTAGATCCCTAAAAACAGCTCCCAGCTCCTCAAACCTTTTTATGAAAGTTAAAAACTAAAAGTTTAAATCATTTTCTAGCTGGTGTTCATGTGCGAAAACCGGAGCGGTACCACGATCGGGCAGTGCGGCATCGATAATTTGAGGCTTCACCTACCCTCTGATATTCTTCTATGGGAACCTTGTCAGAAAGATCAGCTGGCTCGATTGTAGTTTGTAGCCGAACGTAAAGTATAACGTCGTAATAATACTCCAGTATTGATTCTCAGCCTTTCTCAAAGTCTTTCCTAATTTTTCATTTTAAATGAATTTTTACCGTTTATTTAAACTAATTTTTGTGTATATAAAATCGTCTACAGTCGGGAAAATAAATAAAATATATTTATTATACCAAAAATATAAATGCAAAATATAAGGCAATCACACAAAAAGGTCCATCAAAGTCGTAAAAATGGTGGTAATCCGAAAGGCATCTGCGCGCGTTTTTTGAGCAATATTGGGGACACGGTATACGGTAATATAATACGGTAACATAAAAAGCTTAAAAATAAATTTACTCATTTAAATTAATCATTTCTAGCGTTTATAATCTTATTTTAGTAAGACCTGCTTCTGAATTTGGGCTTTCTTGGGGCGCGCGGTAATTTTCTGGGGTTTCTCTAGACGGTAGGTATTGCTGGGTGTGGCCAAATTTGGGGAAGAGTGTAGTTTAAGATTTCTACTTATTTTTTTAAATTAGCGAGTCAAAATCAAATTCTGAAAAAGCACCGGCGTGTTGATAGGAAGGCAACGGAATCGGGAAATCGGGGGTTGAGCAAGCGGCTGGGGTACGGTGGATCGGGCTTTAGTTGCTAGTTCCCTGAAAAAAATCGATAAATTGTGGATTCTGTGCTTTTACACATCGCGGGCGCGTTGCGTGCGGCTATATCCCGATAATAAACCTGCTTTTGAAGAAAAACCGACACACAGCGCCGTCTTGACGCGTTTAAAAGCGCTGTCAGGTAAATCAGGGAAATAGGGGCCGCAGCTCGCAGTTAGGCGGGCAGTTACGCTACGCTACGTTACGCTAAGTTACGTTACGCTACGTTGTTTGGCCCAGTTTCGATCGACACTGCCTTTCCCGGCCTTTTAAACTTGAAAAACTCACTCGAGCCTTTCCCCTCAACGCCGGCTCGACCTCCTCCATCTCGCCCTCCAAACTGTCGAGCGCGATCGAGTCCATCTCGATGTTTTTCGCCTAAAAATTACATTTTTTATTTGAGCTGAAAAACTAGATAATATTTTTGAATGACTCACCGCCCTAGCTCGCGCCTGGCGCTCCTCAAAAGAGGTGAGCCCGACAAAGGATGAGGTGGACAGACCGCTGGCCTTTGACGAAGTATGCGGCTTGACGAGGACACCGTGGATCACCGGGATTCCCCGAGAAGATGAAGCCAGGGAGGAGGAAGAGGAGACGAGGTTCTCTTCACGGCGTCCTCGCTGCGTACGGTCAGAGGATCGCCTGGAACCTCTGAATCAAGTGTCGTTAGTGGTATCCCAAAAGAAAGTCAAAATTAAGCTGTTGGCAAGCTAGCAGAGGTTATTTCTAGTGGCCCTTGACTTGACGGAACCAAAAACAAGCTGCAGAAGCCTACGACACTCGGGATTCCCAAGCCGTCTCCGATCCAAGTACTAACCGAGCCGAACGTTGCTTAACTTGGCAGATCGGACGGGATGCCGTGCTTTCAACGTGGTATGGTCGTAGGCGTTGGCGGGCTCGAGGAGGGATGTTTTAAAACACCGAGACCTAGCTACGAGTTGCACCTCATCAACGGCTCTACCTTCCCTCCCCTCGCCTACGACCATACCACGTTGAAAGCACGGCATCCCGTCCGATCTGCCAAGTTAAGCAACGTTCGGCTCGGTTAGTACTTGGATCGGAGACGGCTTGGGAATCCCGAGTGTCGTAGGCTTTTTGCTGTTTTTCGTTTGAAGCTTATGTTTCAAATAATTTATGCCAGCTTTCTTTTTGCCCTAAAAGATAAGAAAACCTACTGCCTCAAGTTGAAGCGCCCCCCTCCTCGAACATTGCTCATTCTCCTCCTCGGCCGCTGGCAGGTCACGCAGAAGATCCGGACGGCTTCGGAGGCGACGACGTTGTTCCTGGAAACGTTTAGCGTAAACTACAAACTACAACAAATGACGCACCTGTAATGAAGTGACGGCCACGCGGGGCATTGGCCATTTCGGATGGCGAACGCTGTGGACGGGTTGAACTCGCAGTGGCCGTTCACCGGGTTGTAGTGAGCAATCTGGAGGAGATTTTAATAAGTTTAAGAAAATATTTTAAAGGGATAGTGCCAGGAGGTCATCAAAAACATACAGCACAGTTGAACTCGTGGCAAGTACGAGCGCACTGGTCGACGGTGACGGCGATGGCAAAGTGGGTGAACGAGAGACGAGAGGGTCCAGACAACGGGGTAGAGATGTAGAAAATCGAGTTCCCGCACACTAAACGATGCAGGTTTTAGAGGTGTCAACAGCGTTTTGAAGGCGTCAATTCTAAAGCAGTAGGTGGATGTTCAAGGAGCTGACAAGTGTGAGAATCGACCCTCCCTGCGACTAGATCTCGACAGATGGACTAAAGCTCCTTTAGGCAGATTTTGATGTTGTAGACTACTTTTCATCCCCGGTCCACAAAACCAGCTACTTCCAGCCCGTTTAAAGGACCATTGAAGTCTAGCGCACCTCCAGTTCGCGACCGACTCGGGTCGGCAGCTCCGCCGAATGGTGGTCGAGGAGCGGGAGTGGTGGGTGGAGGCTGGAATTCTGGGTTTAAAGGGACCATGAAGCCCATGAATTTTCCCTGAGGGGAGGATATCTTTGGAAAACCCAAACTAATTCAAAGCTCAAAAAGCAGATTTTTCTACATGGCTAATATTTTGACGGGTATTTCCGTACACGATTGAGTGGGCGAGTGCTTACCCTGACGGGCTGCGGCGGCTGCTGGAAGGTAGGCTGTGGCTGCTGGAAGGTGGGCTGCTGGGGTTGTTGGAAGTTGGGGCGCGGCTGCTGGAAGGTTGGCTGGGGCTGAAATTTTTTTTGGAATTTTTGGGATAAAAGCAATTTAATTTGAGCGTCTATTCCCCTAAAAATATTTTATGTAATAAGCGGCTTATTCAGATTTTTAAAGAGCGATTTCTATAGTCTATCGCTTGGGTAGCTGGCAGAGATTCACCGAAGTTTTTCCAACTACGCAGTGTTCCAATTAACACCGCGCGTACTGTGTACAGTCGCGTAGCCCTTTTAGCCCTACCTGCTGGAAGTTTTGTTGTTGGAAGTTCTGCTGGGGTGGCCTCTGGAATTGAGGCTGGGGCTGGAAGGGCTGTTGAGGTTGCTGGGGCTGGGGTTGGAAGGTCGGTTGCGGGCGGAAGGCCGGCTGAAAATAGGAAATAAAGATTCGACCATGAAGCCAAGGTGAAGCTAACTAAGCCTAAGCCTCAGCCTAAGCTTAAGCCTAAGCCTCAGCCTAAGCTTAAGCCTAAACCTAAGCCTAAGCCTAAGCCTCAGCCTAAGCTTAAGCCTAAACCTAAGCCTAAGCCTAAGCCTCAGCCTAAGCTTAAGCCTAAACCTAAGCCTAAGCCTAAGTCTAAGTATCACCTGTGGCTGCTGCGGGGCAAACGGCTGAATCGGCTGTGCCGGTCGCAGGTTGACAGTCTGTGGAGGGCCAACTGGAGGGCGACTAAAAAACGACCCAACTACCGTATGCTCTGAGTTTCTAACCGATTCCTCGGTGGCTGCGGTTGCTGTGGTCGGAGAGGTGTCTGGGGCAGCGGCTGGGGCCTGAATGGCTGCTGCGGTTGGACGGGCGCCGGGGGCAGGGTTGGCCTAAACCGGGTTGTAAAGCCATTTTTTATTCAGATCACTTCTCTAACTGCACTTTTTAACGGTGGAAATGTTATAATTACGTAGCAAAAAGTAGAGTAATGTTGAAACAATTGAAAATCAAAATCTACACACCAGAATCACGGCAGATTCGTTTTGTTTTTAGGTTAGCACTCTTTGAAAATCATTAAAAATAGATTTTAGTCATAAAAAAATTCCTCTCAACTTTCCAGAAATGAAAAATGACAAAAACAAACGGTGGTAGTGGACGGAAAGGCCTTCTCGTCGTGACGGGACGTCTTGTTGGCAGGGTCCTGTTAAAGCAAATCGTTAAAATTAGGAAAATCACAGTAGAAAATTATTTGCGCAAATTTAAATATTTCACAGCCGTCACGCCGCACACAAAATTTATGAAAAATAGAAAAATATCAAAACGTTTTTTTGTACCTCCGTGTGGTTGGTGCCCGGGTGGTAGTAGTAGTGGTAGTGGTGGCCTCTTCCCGTTCATCCTTTGGTCGGAATGGTCGGGGAATGAAGATACCTTTTTCTGGAAAAAAAACGGTAATTACGGGAAGACGGCAATCAATTATTCTAAAGGAACCATGAAGTAAAAAATCCACAGCTTCCCAGAGTTTTGACGTCTCAGATTTGACGTAGCGAGTGTGTTAAAAGGTTCGCATTGGGAGGTATCGCATTCGCACCGAAGGCCAGAACAAAAAGATAGAAATTACGCTTTCAGGGACCCCTAAATGGCGCGGAAAGGCAGAACTATGGCTTTCTCAGCATTTTTGCGTCCCTGAACCCATCCCCGGATGAAAAACTGCGCTTGCGCGTTACGCGTCGCGGGCGCGGAAAATTCCATAGGTACCCTACATCCAAAAAAGCATTCTCATGCCTTGAGCGTCCCTTTACAATCATTAAGATTAAATTTATGGCATTTATGGCAATCAAATAAATTCCTCTTAAAGGAAGAAATCAGGAAAAAAAAACAGATTACAGTGCGTAGGTTTTGAAAAATTGGCTAATTGCCAAAATTCGGATCGGGGACCAAGTCAAATTACTTAGTAAATAAAAAATCGGGAATCGGTAGAAGAATCATACCCTGATTCGGATCGACGATGGTGTTGTCATCGTACGCTCCAAATTGGTCGAAATCCCGACCTCGTCCACCGACGTCGGCTGAAAAGAACTACTGTATTTTCTACCGTATCTTTACTGCAAGTTTCCGAATTTTTAACCGGAATTAGAGCTTTTCATCCCCGTCCCCTGGGTGCAATGTACCACCACACAACATTCGGCAAGGTCAGGAAGTCGGCGGGTGCAAAATCTGTAGCCTGGAGCGAGACTACTCACTGGGTACTTGAGATTGGCCGCCGTCGACCTCGTTGAATAGCATCCGGCGGACACCATCGATCGTGCCAATGTCTGGAAAATGGAGGTAGAGGGGCGAGAGGGAGAGAGAGATAGAGTGGGAGCGAGAGAGGGCGAAATATCCTTTACTATCCCATTAAAACTTACATAATTGGAATTTCCCATCAGCATTCACGCCATTTCCACCGTTGTCGATAGCACTATAACGGAACTTTTGGTATTTTCAAGCCTTTTTACCGCTTATCTACAGCTTCAGCGGCTTCGGAAGCTTCGGGAGCTGGACTTGACTCTGGAATGTGTGAATTATTGGAAATTGAAAGAAAATTAAGTGAAAAGAAAAGTTGATGTTGAGATTTACATACCTTCTGCACTGACGATCAAGGCTACGGTGGCCAGGCCGAGGAGGGCACTTCTCCATCGCCCAAGCATTCTGCTGAAAATCGAGGGATTGAAAGAGAGAGAGAGGGAGATAGAGAGAGATAGAGAGCGAGAGAAAGAGAAAGAGAGAGAGAGATAGAAATAGAGAGAGAGAGAGAGAGAATAAGAGACACAGGTGCAACAATTTGGGGAAGTTTTGAATTTTTTCAGGCATGACATTAAATTTTCCCGGGTTTTCGTTTCATTGAAGCTCTTGACGTTTTCAAAGCACAAAAATGAAGCCTAGTTTTTTAAAGCTACCGAACGTCCTGGAAAATGAGGCGTCCGAAGCCAGGAAAGTCGAGTTTCACAGAGTTTCCCAGAGTTCTAAGCTTCAGTTCAAAGCTTCTGAAGCCACCAAAGCTCTTGTCGATCCGTACAAACAGTTGACCGAAATTATGCTGGCCGCCCCGAGGGGGGATAAACCGGATGAGGGCATTGGAATCTGAAGGGGAAATCTACGAGAAAAGGGAGGGAAAAGCCATCTGTGAAACGGCTTTCCCCCCGGTGGATTCCAATGCTTTCCAAAACAACTGTGAGGAATGAGGCCGATTCGGGCTTGAGATTTCCTGATTTATTACCTTTGTAATTGGGATAGAGGCTAAAGCCTGAGTCTAAGTTAATCCTAAGCTAAGTCTCAGCGAGTGAGCGAGTTATATATAACCAAATTAAGATAATTATAAACAAGCAAAATCACAGGGACAAAATTGACAGCACGATGCAGAATTCTGGGTTACGGTAGAAAAACGGTAAAATTGCAAAAATGACAAGTTAACCCCGAAAAACTCGATAATCGGGTCGAGATGCCGAGCGGGAACCGCATAAATCGGTGGTCGGCCGGATCGGAAACGGGCAGCCCCCAGGGGCAGATCCAAGCCGCCATATCCAGACCCCTGCCTCTCTCTCGCTCTCTCTCTCTCTCTCTCACTCCCTCTCTCTCTCTCCTCTCTCTCTCTCTCTCTTCCACCTCTACAGAATAAACCGGATTTCCGAAGTAGAAAAAACAGTGGAGGAGCCGGGGGGAAATGACGAGAAATGGGGAGCAGACCCCGACGACACAGGCCGATCAGTTTTCCTAAGCAAGGCGTCGTAAAGAGGAGGCCGAATCCTCCTGCTTTCATCGCCTTTTACGGGCGCCATTCACCGGGGTAAAGTCGTGATTTTGTAGCCTGGCGGATTTTGTAGCTCATTTAAAGGGGCCGAGAAGGCAGGACTATGGATTTTGCAGGGTCAGCGACGCGCACGATGTATACAGAAAGAACGCGTCTGTGCGGACCCGAAGTGGAAACGCCAAACCCTTATCGGCCGGAAATGCCGACAGCAAAAAAATGCGGCATGCCAACAACCGAAATCTCGACAGCCAAAATCCTGACAGTCAGAATAAAATCCCAACAGGCATAATCCCGACATCGAAGATCCAAAAAGCAAAAAGCCCAGCATGCAGAATCCCGACAGTGTTAATCCAGCCAGGAAATCACGCAGTCGGGATTATGGTTGTCGGCATTTTGGTTGTCGGCATTTTGGTTGTCGGCATTTTGGTTGTCGGCATTTTGGTTGTCGGCATTTTGGTTGTCGGGATTATGGTTGTCGGCATTTTGGTTGTCGGCATTTTGGCTGTCGGCATTTTTCAGATTGGAATAAGCCAAAAAATTGTTTTGACTGATTTGGCGAGAGCGAGCCGGGAAAAGACTGCGTTCTCTTAATGACTTTAAAGGGCCGTTAAAGGCAAGGAATGAGGGACCAGGAGGCAAGCAATGAACCAACAGAGAAATGAAAACCCCCAAGTACACCTATTTACCCCCAAAAATCTGTCCTTGAGTTTCCGTTCCAAACTCTCAAGGGTGAAAAAGCGTAAAAACGAAACGCCAAAAATCCCGCGCGAATCCTTTAGTCAAGTATGCGTAGACCGGGCTAGACTTGGAGGTCAAATTTTTACCATGTTCCGGGAGGTGGACCTCACGCAGACACATGCTCTTGCTCGATGTGTACACATACACTACCGACTACCCTAATGGGAAAAGCCATCGAAAAAGAAACTTGTTCACGGCGACAGTCGGAACGGGCAGGTATCTCGAACCGGATCGCCAATCTCGACCCCGGGGAAAGGTGTACAAAGGTGCCAAATGTAGCCCCACCTGGGGGGTGGGAGCAAAGAACAGTGAAAAAGGTAGGGAGCAATTTTTTGGACTGCCTTACGGGATTTTTTTGGGGGTAAGTTACGGGTTCGCGTAGAACAGGCGCAAAACGGAGCTTCGCACGAGAATAAACCAACCTAGAAAATCAAAATAATAAAAATTCCCAGCAATGATTATAAGGCTAAGCCTATGATTAAAGTAAGCTTACACCAAAGCCTAAGCGATTTTAAATAAAAAATACTGAAAACTGAATACTAAATTCTCAGAAAAAATAATTTAAGACGCTAATTTGAAAGTTAGCAATTTTCTCATCACCTTTAAAATTGCAAATTACGGTCTAGCATGCGTACAGAGGTGTAAAACGGAATTAAAACCCGCAAAAACAGCAACATAGAAGAAGCAGGAAACGGTAATAATAAAAAGTTTCCTCTGTTAAAATTTTGCCGTGAATCGCAAATCCACCGGAAAATCGAAAATCTTAAAAAACGAAATACGACAGCAAGGTGTAATTAGGTGTAAAACGGAATTTTAGCCCAATAAATAATTTGGTTTCGGTGCGTTCAAAAGCGGCGTTACGGTAAGTCGATAATAAGCGTAATAAGGCGTAAAAGCGAACCGGACTATGGCGTTTTTTGCTTGCAAATTTAAGGGGAAGCTTGAAAAGCAAAAAATGCCTAAAAAGCACACGCGATAATTTAAAAAATGTTCCCAGCCACTTTACGACACAGATTACGGTAGTAGCTGTTCATTTACTTTTTAGTATACAAAAATGTAAAGCAGTTTTTATGTAACTTTAAAGGAGCATAGCTCAAACCCCACCGAAAGTGCCAGATCTGTCACCAGCCCAAGAGCAAGTGCCCGCAGCTGTGAAAAGTGCGAAGTTCGAGCGAAAGTTTTGGGTGAAAAACTGCCGAGATTGAGGGGCAGATATTGGCAGGGTGGGCGGTGTTGGACGTCAAAAAACAGCGAATTCCAAGGATGCTTGACTACGCAACGCTACGCAACGTGCCGCTGGGCGCATCCAAAGTTACAGCCAATTTTTGGCTTCGAGATCATGCGTAAGTGGTAAACTAAACGGAATTCCTGTGGTAAATCGACTAAATAAAGCATTATCACCTATTTCTAACGTCGCTAGGAGCGTTGCGTAGCTACAGCCTTGGTACGCAACAATACGCAAGGCTACGTTAAGCTACGTAATGTTACATAACTCCTACAAAACGGATCGGAACGGAAGAATCACATCATCGAAAGAGTCGTGTGAAAAAATAGGTTTCCACAAATTTTCTACAGTTATTCGATTGAAACGGCTTTTTGCAGTCTCTTTCTGACGTTGCGAGGAGCGTTGCGTAGCTGTTGGGGGAAGGGCGGTGAGTTATGTCTTTGTCGTGTCGCTTCCTGAGGATGTAGAAGAGCAGGAGGCATTCCTCAAGTGGCACCCCGAGGGGAGGAGGATGAGAGAGACAGAGCGAGTGAGAGAGAGAGAGAAAGTGGATGACTCGTTATGGTGGATGCCTTACAATTAAATATCCGCTATATTCTCACTAGATTTGGGTGGAGCCAAGCTAAAAAACGTTAAAAACAGCATTTTTTGTAAAGGTTTTATGCCATCAACCTGAGCAAATCCATTCTAAAAAATTCCTCTTGCCTGTCCCTTTAAAGGACCATTGAAGACAGAATTCTGCCAATATTTTAAAGTTTATCCATAAGGGGATACGGTAGTCCCTTGCAGGTCCCTTTAAAACAGGTTAAGGCACGATTTTCAAGTTCGGAAGAGCCGACCGAGCTGCTGGTGATCAGTGGCAGAACCCCAGCGGGGGTGGTTGGAGATTTCGAGTTGAAAGAGAGAGAGAGAGAGAGAGAGAGAGAGAGAGAGAGAGAGAGAGAAATACCACCAGATAGCGTCTGATTGTCAAAAAGGCCTGGAGGGTGATCCGGATCTGCCAATCCATGAAAAGCCACCCACCAGCGGGAGGCAGACATTTTTCCTACAGCGTTTGGGGTGGGGGGTTGGGCTGCCCCCTCCTGTATTTCTCGCCCCCGTTTTCTTTCGTCTCCTTCTTGTGATAATTGCCTCCCCTGCCATCAGCACCACCCGGCTCATTTTTCCAAGCCTGATTTGTGCGTGGGGGGTTGGGGGTTGGCTAGCTGGCTGGCTTTCGATTCGATTTTCGGACGGCCAGGGGGGAGCCGGCCGATCCGTGATATCTGAAGCTTGAAGAAAGCGTATTTCCGGAATGGGAGCGCTAGAAGTTTGACTGATTTTCCGGTGGTAATGAGGGAAAGGTATTTTTGATGCGACTTAGCATTAATGCGTACGTCAGTGAGTTAGTGGAAAGGCAATTTTAAAGGGTCATGAAAGTGAAAATAGGAAAAAATCCACCAATCAAAACATCTGTCAAATTTTAGAAGATTATTAAATTTAAAATATATTTAAACCGGAAAATAATTAGAAAAACAAAAAAATATTGAAAAAACTTCAAATCCTCTTGAAATCGACATTTTTGTCGATATTCGGCGATTTTTGGTCGAGAAGCGCTTGCTTTTTAGATTTTTTGAAAAATATTGCGGAAAATGCCGCCCGGAGCCGGAGCCGAACCTTCCTCCAGCCTCCCTCCCCGATAATGAAAAAGTACCCAGAGCAAGAGCACGGTGTCATCCTACGACTTGCCAAACTGTGAGTAATCCGCCACGCAAAAAAGCCTAGAAAACGCGCTGGTTTGCCCGCTAAAGGAAGCTAATTCCGGGGGGTCAACTTTTCCCTTTTTCCCTCTCCTCCCCCCTCGACGTGTACATTTCCATCCACCATACACCCGTCCGTGCCACTGGCAGATAGATTTACGGTCAAAGCGCGCACGCCATGCCAGCTCGCGCTCTGCG